TCTAGTGTGTTCTTTTATCTTTCTGTTTCTTTATATGAGTGCCGATCGATACACTGTCTATTTGTTTACTACATGTAAAAGATACGCAACTAACTATACCCTGAATTATAACGGTTTCATGAAATCTCTGGCCGGCGTTGCCAGGTTTCTGGACAACTGCTTAAAACCAATTCGTTAAATTAATAAAGCCAACAGAAAGATCACAAATAGTGCCTGAGTTAACATCGCGCGCGATTCGCAGAAAAACAGATTCAATTACCAGAAAAACCGAGGAATGTTTGTTTGATATAGCCATTAGCCTCTCCCCAAACCCCCACCCCCACCCTCTCTCTTTCAGGAAAGGTACGATGGACTGCTGCTATCATGGAAACATGAAATCTGCGCTGTCTGCTAAAGATGTGGACAGAGCGCCTATGGCAATATCCGGAGAGCTGCGGAGTGTGTTCTTAATTCATTTCATCTCTCTCTTTCTCGCTCTCCCTCTCTGCCCCCCCCCCCCCCCCCTTCTCAAATCTCTAGCTACATCGTACGAACTCGCCTGTATGTATGTCGGCGGTAATTGCAGAGGCTAATAAATAAGTAAAGCAGATTACAAGCCCGGAGTGTCAATCCTGGTCTTACACAGCTGGCTAAATGTCAGGCAGGCAGGCAGGCGGACACAAGCATGGACAGACATAGACGTGGACGCAGCAGATGGACGGATGTCACTATATACAATACCTGGACGGCATACACACAGAGGGTAGGCAGACGGGAGAATAGACACCACGACGACGGTAATAGACATAAAGGCAGACGGATGGACGGACGGACAGACTGACAGACAGGCAGACGGGAGAACAGACACCAAGACAAGACAGTAATAGACAGATAGGCCGATGGACGGACAGACAGATAGATATATAGACTGGATACAGACAGATAGATTAGGCCGTTCTTCTCGCGCTCTAAAGGTCGTTAGTTCGTTGCACGGACGTGTCGGTTAAATCACGACGGCTCCAGCTGGAGCCAGTCGTGATTAAATCATGAGTGCCGCTTTTTATCAAAACCTCCTGTGATCGTCGTTGCAGCTACAAAGTTCGTGCTTTATGCGACACCTTCGGCAGGCGGCCAGACGTTCTGCAGAGAGAGAACGAACGAACGAACGAACTTTATTTTCAAAGGGTTACAAATTAGGCACGCAGGCCTGTCTTACATTCGGCCCTTCCAAACTTCCATCTTTCACACAGCAGTTGTATATCATCAATAAAGCATGTTATATTCATGTAATAATATGCATATTATATATATGAAGTCAAAAACAAAAGCATGGCTGGTAAAATATGTACGCACGCTCACGCGCGAACACACACACCCACATACACACACAAGCCCAATGACTCACTTACACACAAACATATAGGCACTAAGTACACACATACATCCACATATATACGAACATGCACACACACATACATACATACATACATACATACATACATACATACATACATACATACATAGACATACATACATACATACATACATACATACATACATACATACATACATACATACATGTACATACATACATACATACATACATCACGACATACATACATACATACATACATACATACATACATACATACATACATACATACATACATACATACATACATACATACATACATACATACATACATACATACATACATACATACATACATACATACATACATACATACATACATACATACATACATACATGCATACATGCAGAGAGAGAGAGAGAGAGAGAGAGAGAGAGAGAGAGAGACGGCGGAGAGATAATACACGACAGCTCTTCAAACACACGGAGTCACTATCTGGAAATAGAAGGGTAATCGAATAAATTAATAGGGTCGGCTAATATCTGCAGCAATGAACGTTAAGGGATCGCAATGATGATGATGATGACGATGAAGAAGAAGAAGCAGAAAAAAGACAAAAAGAAGAAAAGAGGATGGGGAGGAGGAGTAGAAGAAGAAGAAGAAGAAGAAGAAGAAGAAGAAGAAGAAGAAGAAGAAGAAGAAGAAGAAAAAAAGAAGAAGAAGAATAAGAAGAAGAAGAAGAGAGAAGAAGAAGAAAGAAGAAGAAGAAGAAGAAGAAGAAGAGAAGAAGAAGAAGAAGAAGAAAGAAGAGAAGAAGAAGAAGAAGACAGAAGAAGAGAAGGAAGAAGAAGAAGAAGAAGAAGAAGAAGAAGAAGAAGAAGAAAGAAGAAGAAGAAGAAGAAGAAGAACAAGAAGAAGAAGTAGAAGAAGAAGAGTGGATGAAGAAGTAGTAGTAGTTCATGCCAATGGTTTCAAGTTGAATCTGTCTGCATGCTGGGGGAGGGGTGGGGGTAGAAGAGAATTTCTGAAACACTTAGCCTTTATTGCCTTTCTGCAGTAAACTAATAAAGCCCCTTCATGTTTCATCTCCCTATTAGAGTTTCCAAAATGGTGGTCAGAACACACACAATAAGGCACCAGAGAGGGCCAGAAGAACAACAGGGAAATCCTAGGAGACATTATCAGCTGGCAAGTATTCGTAGCTGAAGGCTGATAGAACAAGACCCGAAACCCGACGTCCAATCAATATTGTGGATCTATACACCCTTCCTGTCTGCATATCTGAGGCTTCATCATACACCATCTGTCTGTTCAGGGATTCTCAGCTTTGGGAAACTATATAACTTCTTTATCTTCTCTTCCTCCAGTTACCACTTCAAGATGTTGCTTTTATGTTCTCTTTCTAATGTGATGTATAAGTTATCTTCATTTGATTGAAGCTTTTCTTGATGCCGTCCTTCCATATTTTGCATGGTTTTGCCCTTGCGCTGTGTTCATTAAATTTCTTTAGCATGTCTCTGTGAGGCAGGCAGTTTGTATCACAGCATTCTTGTCAGATAGCCAAACTATCTTATTTGTTTCTCTTTAATGAACAGTATGACTGGTTTCAACATCTCTGCTGTTTTATGATTTTGGGCTCATTTATTGTAGTCACTGGTTCCCACTGGGATTCGTGTCAAGCACAGCTCCCAACTTGGTATACTAATTATCTTAGTATCTGCTCTGCACTTCCAGTGGTTATCAACTTGGGGAACTATGCACATTAATTTTCTGAATATCTAGCTCTGTCTACTAAAACAATGATTCTCAGCCTGGAGATTAGCGCACTCTATATATAGAGCTGTGCATTTATCTGTAGTCTATGCCGGTGGTTTTTATCTTTGATAAAAATGGATAATCATTCATTTGAGCCTGCTGATATTACTTTTAGCTATACTGTGATATCTTCTTCTATAAACTCCAGACATCAACATGAATATATGTAGAAAAAGCAAGAGTCAACCTGAGGTTGATGACATGTCCGGAGTTTGTCCTCAAATAGAGCGGGTGTAGACCAGAAGAACTGTCTCTGTACAGCCTCAACATGTTTTCTCAGTGCTTAGATGGCTAGTACACATTTGGAGGATGAAGGATAATGGAATCCCTAAAGATATCCTTTATGGTGAATTACATATGGCTAGAAGATGCTTGTCTCCACTACGATGTAAAGTGGACATGAATGATATAGGTAATGAAGGGGATTCATGAAAACAAGATGTCAGGGACCATGTTGCCTGGAGAAAGGGGAATCAGGAAAGGATTACAAAGAAGAAAATGATTGCAGATAGGTTAAGAGCTAAGCATCTAAAAGGAAGTAAGTTAAACACATGTGAATGTAACAGTGGTCCTACAATCCCTTGCTCTATCTGTAGAAGACTTTTTTTAACACAATCGGGTCTTACCAGTCACACCCGCCATCACCATAGGCTATCAGTCCCATGCCTAACTACAGCACTATTGCCTGGACAAATGCCAATCAACTGCATGCTGGGTACTCTTGCAGCAAGCGTTTAGCTGTCATGTTACCTGTTTCACGGTTTCATCTGTGTCTCCAATCTCTGGGTTACTGAACAAGTTATTCCGTGTGGGTTCTGGGGCCCCGGTGGGGAAGGGGGTGGGTGAGGGGGATCAAAAACAGTCCCACAAACTCTAACAAGCCCTGTAAGAGTTGACTAATTAGGGCATTTCTTCCAAGCTTCTGTGTATCTGTCTGAGAGGCAAGGAAACAATAGTCTGCATATAAAACATCTATAGAATGGATTTGCACGCAACACTCAAGTTCTGAAACTAGATTAAAGTTCAGAAATGGATGAACAATCAAAAGAGCTGTCCACTAAAGTTTACAGCTGGTGAACGCAAAGAAGAAGAAGTATTTCATCACAGTCTGAGAGTCTCAACTAGTAAGATGGACAGAGATAGTAAGAGAGTGTTAGGTCTAAGGAACAATGGGATGTGTGATATAAAATTTCCTAGCCTTGCCAAAGAGCAAATTCTGTGCTGAAGCTGACAGAGAACTCACTTTGTTAGACTGCCTTCCAAAATGTCATACAGTAACAACAACAACAATTATAACAATAACAATATATAGCAGCAGGAATGGTATGGGACTATCATCAGTGTTGGCACATCTGATAGCTGCCTCTGCAGTTCTACTCTGCATGTGCAATCATCAAGATTTTGCTGGCAAGTTTTTCCCTAGCTTTCAAATGGAATAATGAAGGAATTTGGTGTGATTTCCACTGGACCAGAAAAGGAGCAGTTATGGGGCAGCGTCGGAATCCTGACTAAGGATCAACGACCAGCAGTAGGAGGTTAAATGCTCACAGTCTGATAAAGGGCTTAATTTCTTGTGACTACCACAAAATATCTAGTAATGGGACATCTCCTCTTGAATTGTGTACTCTTATTTTAATATATCTGAGGGGGCTGCATGGTCTCAAGGCAGGGTGTCTGCCTCGAGTGCTAGAGGTTTCGGGTTAAATCCCCGGTAAAATTTACAATAAATCTGAACAGCGGATGCAGTAACTACTGTACAAAATCCATACATTCTGAACAAAACAAAAACAAAAACGTACCAATATAATAAACACATTTCTTTTCAAAACATACCTGCAAGTTTTCGGCATACAGCAAACTTTTCAAGATTTGATTACTCCTCCTCTGAACACCTTGATTTTCCATAACATTCTCTAGAAAAGCTAGAATGTCTCTGAGTCTTGTTGTAGAAGGTAATAGTTCTAAGGCCTAGTCAGTCCAGGAGAAAAAAACAATAAACACTGTAATAGTAATAATAACAATAATAATACTGTACAGAATGTCTGGGAGTAAAGTGGCTAGATGGTAATCTGCTGGGTCAAAGGTACTGGATTGGAAAACGCCCTGGGTGAACTTATCTTATCTTTGGTGCATCACACATACAGTCCTAGACCTATATGTTTATAAGCCAGTCTGCACAATGGGTGATGTGCTCAGTATCACCCCAGCCACTTTTAATTCCCTGGACATTACCTAGTGCTAAATTTAGGCTGGGTCGAATGCGAGCAAAGATCAGTTCTGAAACAGATTCTGTCTTAATGCTCTTCTTCTTCTTCCTTGCGTTACCAGCTGTAAACTCTGGAGGAAAGTTCTGGTTGTTCATCTTCTTCTTCCTTGCGTTACCAGCTGTAAACTCTGAAGGAAAGTTCTGGTTGTTCATCTTCTTCTTCCTTGCGTTACCAGCTGTAAACTCTGGAGGAAAGTTCTGGTTGTTCATCTTCTTGTTCCTTGCGTTACCAGCTGTAAACTCTGGAGGAAAGTTCTGGTTGTTCATCTTCTTCTTCCTTGCGTTACCAGCTGTAAACTCTGGAGGAAAGTTCTGGTTGTTCATCTTCTTGTTCCTTGCGTTACCAGCTGTAAACTCTGGAGGAAAGTTCTGGTTGTTCATCTTCTTGTTCCTTGCGTTACCAGCTGTAAACTCTGGAGGAAAGTTCTGGTTGTTCATCTTCTTGTTCCTTGCGTTACCAGCTGTAAACTCTGGAGGAAAGTTCTGGTTGTTCATCTTCTTGTTCCTTGCGTTACCAGCTGTAAACTCTGGAGGAAAGTTCTGGTTGTTCATCTTCTTGTTCCTTGCGTTACCAGCTGTAAACTCTGGAGGAAAGTTCTGGTTGTTCATCTTCTTGTTCCTTGCGTTACCAGCTGTAAACTCTGGAGGAAAGTTCTGGTTGTTCATCTTCTTGTTCCTTGCGTTACCAGCTGTAAACTCTGGAGGAAAGTTCTGGTTGTTCATCTACTTCTGGACTTTGGTCTTGATCCAGAACCTGAGTTTTGTGTGCACATCTATTTTACAGACCTGGCTTGTTCATATGCAGACGGTTGGTTCCTTGCCTCTACGGCAAATATACTGAAAATATGACCCCTTATGAGTCAGTTTCAATGACATGCTTGTGGGGAGGGGGTATTCTTTATCCTCAAAAATGAAGCCTAGGAATCCACATAGGGATACCTTCATGCAAACTTGAACCCTTAACCTTCAGGCCACAGGTGATCATCCAGCGGTTATGCTATTGTGGTTCCTGTTATTTTAATAACTTTCTATTACTGTTATAAAAGGTTATTCTTCTTAGACATGTAGAAAATGAGCTTTTCAAACCAATAAAGAAGGATATAAATGTCAAATGGTTAATTTAATTCAGCTGGTTTCAGACATATGAATTCCTGTGTGGGGTTAAACCTACAACTTCCCCAAACAAGCATGTCGTGAAAGTCAACTAATGGGGTGTTTCTTTCAAAGTTGGAGTACATTTGCCTAAGAGGTGAGAGACCAACAGTCTGCATACAATTAAGCCATATATGTCAAATGGATGTGCACACAAACCTCAAGTTCTGGAAAAAGACCAAAGTTTAGGAGTGGACAAACAATCAGAACTTTCCGTCGCAGTCTACAGGCAGTGATTGTGAAGAAGAAGAAGAAGAAGAAGAAGAAGAAGAAGAAGAAGAAGAAAAAGAAGAAGAAGAAAAAGAAGAAGAAGAAAAAGAAGAAGAAGAAGAAAAAGAAAAAAAAGAAACAAAGAAGAAGAAAAAGAAGAAGACGAAGGCATAAGATGTTGTTGTTCTTAGACATATTTAAAAAAACTGTTCAAACAAATAAATTAGGATATCTATGCCACTGGGTGAATATAATTCCTTTGGTTTCAGATATTTTTAAAATTGATCATTTCATTATTGTGCAAGACTCCATCTTATTTCAAAATTAATTAAACAACCAACATAAAACATACATAACAAAGCATGATATGAGGAACCCCAAAACTTAAAAATGCACGTAATATTTCCATACCTTTGCAGTGTCAATCTTCATTGCATGATCTTCTAACAGTTTCAAGGCAATGTTTGTCCGTCTGCCATCTACTTGAGAGTTGGGACCATCCACATGGTCATCTGCAGGCTTGAGGAATAGCTTCAGTAGCAGGAAATAGACCTTAATGGTGATTCAACAAAGAAGAGCACAATTAGCTGAGCAGAAAATATATACTGTAATCAGTGCAGTAAAACTGCATGCCTTTAAAATTTGTACCAGTTGAGTTTAGTTAAGAACCAGTGCAGAGTACCAATACTAATGGTGCCGGTCGTAGTCTGATTGTATTTCCGTCTTGCCTTTCCTCCTAGCGAGACCCTCTGGTCACACCCAGGTTCATCATATATACCATAAATAAAATATATACTACAAAAAAAACGTACGTACTCCCACATGCCAACACACACACACATATATATACATACATACACACTATAGATGGTGCACTGAAATTAGGAAAAATTCACTTCAATGGTCTGGCAATCCAAGGAGAATGCTGGGGTACCAACTACTACAGAAAGCCATGTTGAAGAAATACAAGAGGCAAACCACGCAGAGGAACAATAAGACAGCCTTAAAGACATTAAAAGTAACTTATACAACGCATAGGAAAGCCACCGTGGTGTAGGGGCTTGCCTGCGAATCTGAAGGTCAGGGGTTCCAATCCAAACAAAGCCAAACTTTAAAAACAAGTAAATTCCTGGGATGACCAGATCAACCACCGAGTGCTGACTGGTCTACAAAATATAGGTATAGCCCTATATGCCCAATATACTAGAAGGCATGAGAGCCCTTTACTTCTACTTTTTTATACAATGCACAGGAAAGAGCATAAAGAAGATCCTTATATCTGCCCTAACAATTTAATGAAGTAACAACTTGGGGAAGGGATAAAGAAAAAGATAAAAACTAAAATTACAAGCATTATGTTATATATATATATATATATATATATATATATCTTATGCATGATCACCAATGGCATCTGTTCTAAACTTGGTAAACAAAAAAAGAAAATGTCTGCAGGGAAAAACTACAGGACAACCAAAATTGTTCAATAGTTTTAATTGATTTTATATATAAATGAAATAATCTATCCACATTTTTGCTACTGTAACTTTTTTTTTCAGATGATTTTTATCTACTTCCAACATTTATGAAAATTTTTAAACAAGAGTAATAATTTTTTTTTCCAGTCATGAATGAGATTAGTAGTGTTAGTAGTAATTTACAACAACAACAAATCCTGTTCAACCCTCATGTTTATTATATTAAAGATAATTATGTCATTTAAACAAGAGAGTAGTTTAAAAAAATATTTTTTTAAAGTCTTGTATGAGATAAGGGCGTTTGGAGAATTTTGTGATAGCCAGCAAAAATAATGAGTGTTAAGAGACAATGGTCAACTGAGGTGAAAACACTAGACAGGTGGCGGCACAGAAGACAATTAGTGATCAAACTGATCAAGAACACAGAGGATACATGCTTGTGGTCACCTGCACTACTGAGATGATGATGGAAAAATACTTACATCTTTGCATCCTTCCTTTTCTTTCTCATAATTCATAGCACAGTATCTGCAACAAGATTAGACACAAATATTGTACGCTTTTAGGTGTCCTTACCTGATTAGGACTGTGAATTGATGTATGTCAAGCTAGATATTGTGAGGGCCCTTTGGGAACGACTGAACAGTGCGAAGACGCAGATAGATCATTACGGTCTGAGGAGAATGGCGCTGTGAGGAGTTACCAGGGGATCTGACCGAGGCTCAACGTCCAGGGAAAGGATGAGACGGATACACAATCAGAAGGCTACTGGTGCCATCAGAATTGGAACTCTTCACCTGCTGCTGAAGATGGAGATGGAGCACTTATGGGAGTGTCCCGAGTGCTGTGATGTCGATTCTTTATTAAACGTTCAACCTGATTAGGACTGCAGGTTACCCCTAGCTGGTTTAGCCACTAGTGGTGCTCTAAATACATCATCATCATCAATCAGCAAGTCCTTTACAGAATGTCACTCTCTTCACGGCACGCCTGAAAGTATTCCTTTTGTTAGTCAGCTCTCCAACCCCATGTGCTTTTAATGCCAATGCTTCTTCAATGTCTGTATCCATTTTCGCAGTGGTCGACCCCTGCCTCACCTTCCACAAACTGCACCCTACATCACCGTCTTTTCCAAGCCACCATGACGCTCGATGTGGCCAAGATACTCTCTAAATATAAATATCTTTGAATATTGAACGGGGTTTATAGGATCTGCCTTGGTGGTCTGTCATCCCGATTAAGATTTCTCTAATCTCAGGGTGGAATGTTAAACCTTGAGGTCGCAGTCTGGAGGAAGGGGGAGCCAATCGATCGACAATACCCTGTTAGGCTGTAAATGATAAAGAATCCAAATTATTATTCTTCCACCTGAGTCTATGTTGAGATGTTGTATCATAATAGTTCTGGGTATAACTGCACACATCCACTCTCTTCATACAGTGGGGACCTAAGCCAGTCAGCATGGTTTCAACAAGTCTTCTTCTTCAGTCTATGTATAAGTGCATGTGTGTATAAAGGTGATTGTACACGTGTGTGTATGAGTTTAAGTGCATATATGTGTACGTATGAGTGTGGGTGCTTGAATGTATCTGTATGAACATGAATGCATGCATGTATTTGTATGAGGGTGTATATATGAGTGTGTGGGTGTGTATGTATGTATATGTATGGGTGTACTTGTGTGTGTACGTATAGGCATATAAGAGTGAATGTCTTAATGTATATTAGAAGTGTGTATGATTGCGTATACATGATGGGTGTATGCTTATAACATGCATTACTGATAACATGCTATTGTAGTCAGAAAGATAAGTGCTTGAAAGAGCTGGATGTAAGATGGGCCTGTGTGCCCAATTTGTAACCCTTTGAAAATAAAGCTCCTTCATTCGTTCTTCTTCTTCTTTTCCTGCAACTATATCTACAAACTTTGGGGGGAGATGTAAGGATTTTCTGTGTGTTCTTTCTAATGTCCTGTATAAGCTGATATTTACATCTTTAAGGCTGTTCTTGATGCTGTCATTCCATCCTTTGTGTCGTCTACCCCTAGATCATTATTCATTATATTTCTTTAGCATTGCTTTCTGCAACAGTTGGTACCAGGGCATTCTTGCTAGATGGCCAAAACATCTCATCTGTTGCTCTTTGATGAACTGAATGACAGCTTTCAGTCCTAGCCATTTTCTAATTTCAACATTCAGTTTTCAGATGTATGATAATCAAACGTCCTACTATGTGACAGATAAGGTTCAAATGTCCACTACCATGGGCCACACGTATCAGAATGTGGAGATACAAATTTGGACCATAAATTACCCTACTATTTGACAAAAAGGTTCAAATGTTTGCTGCCACTGGCCACACCGGCTGGACTGTCGGGACCAAAAGGGGGAAGCCATACCAGAAGCATGCTTTTCCTATACTTTTTCATGCTAAGTGTACAGATGCAGCCACATTAAAGGTGTCTAACGTGCTGAAGAAGACTGTGCCCATATGTGTGGTTAGTGAAGTCCCTGACCTGCTGCCACTCCCTGTTGATCTCCAGAGGGTGCAGCTCATTTTGAGTGGGAAGCCCAACATACGAATGTGAGGTTAAGCAGTCATGTGCAGGGTGTGACAATTCCATGGGCGACCCCAGAACCACAGCGTCATGTATCGGCTCTGCATTTATGGAACCCTCCTTGGATGGCGGGGAATGCCCATAATCTGCCCCTGCTTTCCCTTCAGGGCTGACCAGTTTATACTAAACTGCCCTGGGAGGGATCTCCAGGAGCAACACCTGCAGATGAAAGGACAAAGAGGAAGGCTAAGCCGCTGAACAAATGCTTGATGGCGCTGGAAGTGTCCGCCGAAAGGCGCAAATATCACAGCTATGCTGTAAACTGACACAACACAATTATGTCACTTGAACAAACGATGAAGAAGAAGAAAACAAAAAGGCAATCAATCAAATAATCATGTCTAAATTACAAAGACAGAGAAAACCTTCCACTTACTCCTCTGCAAGCCTGATGTCCTTAAGTATATTAATGTATATACTAAGAGCTTGTTCATGCCGTCCTAGGCGACCCAGGAGAATGGCCCTCTCTTCATGGAAATCTGCAACATAATCCAGTGTGGTACCATCACTCCCACAGTGAGACAGACAGAGAGTGTGTATAACTAGAGACACAGAAAGAAGAGAGACTGGGCTGGCAGCTCTTTATATTGTAAGAAAGGAACAAGCAACAGTACACAGGTCACCTGCTGCTCTGGGAGATCACAACAGAGATGAGGATAAGAGTAAACAACAGAAGCAAAGACAAGTAGACAGAAGAAAAAATGGAAATAAACAGTGGGAGAAAATAGAAAAGAAACTGACAGAAAAACATTCAATTAAATTCAAATGGAAAGAAGGAAAGGAGGGAGGGAGGAAGGAAGGAAGGACATTTAAACAGGAAGAAAATAACTGATCAAACATTTAATTTAAAAGAATAGAAGAAAATATAGAAACAATATAAAGAAAGAAACCAGGCAAAAAGGAAGAAAAAGAGAAAGAAAATAAATAAAGAATAAAAACGGCGAAACAATTTACTGTATGACAGAAAAAGACTTCTTGGTTTTACATTCTGTCCCAAAAACTAAATATTCACTTTCCTCAAAGCACACATTCAATAAATAGGTATCAGAGACTTGCATCTGGGGAACATGAAATCACTCCACAGCGCATCCCACAATATTGCCCAGCAGACGCCTGGCCAATGTGGCCTAAAGAACTAATGCTACAGAACAAGTTGTGGCAATTTAGTAGAGATTTTCCTCATGCTGCCTCTGGGTTCCATTGGCGAGGGTGGGGCGTGGGGTAGGATTACCCCCCCCCCCCCAGCCCCATAACAAGCCTGTTGTAAAAGGCAATTTATAAGCAGTCTGCTGAAATTAGATGTGTGGGGCTAAAAGGTGCAGATATCGCAACCTAGCTGCAAACCACAATATAATCTGCTAACTATCATTTTAATGGAAAAATGCAGAAGAAAAAAGAAGTAGGTAGAGATTTCAAGTGCATCATTCTGTTTATAACACTTACATGAATGGTTGCAAACACTGATTCTTGTAGGATAACGCTGTATTTCTATTTGTCCAGTTCTGTGAAAAATGCAATATCTCAAGTGGGTATACAGACTTACCATCTGGTGGAAACCTAGTCAGAAGTCTCTCTGGGATATACCTCTGAGACTTGTGTAGAAAAGACACCAACTTCTTTCGCAACACTCCCAGCTCTCCTGGTTCTTCTCCAGCTTTGCATGGAGTGTGACCTTAGAGAAACATTAAAACTCTGATGAACAAAATTGTGATATCACACCTGAAGATTACTGAAAGAATCAGAATTTTCGAAATCTTATACGCAACACTGGACAACCACCAGTATCAAAAGCTATAAAGCAGAGAAGATGGCATTATGTGGACATATTTTGAGAAGAGACGACAGAGAACCACTAAACAGGCACTGAAATGGGAAATACAGGCACTTAGGAAATAAGTACATCCAAGAGAAACCCTAAAGGGAATGTTGATGAGAGAGGCTAAAGGTGCTGGAGTGGATTCCATCCATGAAATTGAACTTACTGCATAGAATCGCGTTGAATGAAGAAACAGACTGTGAGTCTTATGTGACATATAATGGCACAAGAGAATAAAGAATGAATATGTAACATAACCACAGAATAAAAGCCGACTAAAAACACAAACAAACGTATCAGAACAAAACACTTTTCAGCATATTATTAATATACAGATCTCAGGAGATGGCATCAGGGTTTAGCATGTTCCATCCAGTAAGCTGGAGATCCTCCCACTATGGAACAAGAATGTAGTATTTTTCTTCAGAAGCTGCAGTGGCATGCATAGCGGCTGCCAGCATGAAAGTCTTTGATCAGAATCCATACCACAAGCAGGTTGGCTGATAGTTGTTGACCAAATCAAACACTCAGTACAGACTCATAACACCATATTAAGTTTACATGGCATAGGGTTTTTATTTTTTATTATTTAGATATAAACCTCAGAAGTTGGCATCAATGTGAAGCATTTACTTTTAGTAATTTAGAGACTTGAGAAGGTGGTATCAGAATGTAGCATTTATATTTTAGTAATAATGAGACCTCGAATGATGTCAACAGAATGTAGAATTTATCTTCTCGTAATAATGAGACCCCAAATGATGTCAACAGAATGTAGAATTTATCTTATAGTAATAATGAGACCCCAAATGATGTCAACAGAATGTAGAATTTGTCTTCTCGTAATAATGAGACCCCAAATGATGTCAACAGAATGTAGAATTTGTCTTCTCGTAATAATTAGACCCCAAATGATGTCAACAGAATGTAGAATTTGTCTTCTTGTAATAATGAGACCCCAAATGATGTCAACAGAATGTAGAAATTGTCTTCTCGTAATAATGAGACACCAAATGATGTCAACAGAATGTAGAATTTATCTTCTCGTAATAATGAGACCCCAAATAATGTCAACAGAATGTAGAATTTATCTTCTCGTAATAATTAGACCCCAAATGATGTCAACAGAATGTAGAATTTGTCTTCTCGTAATAATTAGACCCCAAATGATGTCAACAGAATGTAGAATTTGTCTTCTCGTAATAATGAGACCCCAAATGATGTCAACAGAATGTAGAATTTAACTTCTAAAAATAATGAGACCCCAAATGATGTCAATAGATTGTAGAATTTATCTTCTCGTAAATGAGAAACCACAGAAGTTGGCATCAGTATGTAATATGTATAATCTGTCATACAGACAGCTGTGAAGCTGGTAACAGAATGTAATGTTCACTTTCTGGTAATCAATTTACTACTATTTCAGATGCTAAATTCTTCTCTCCGATAAACCCAACAGATCTTAAGCAGCCATAAGACTTTTCATCGTTCATTTCTAGATCATCTTCAATGGACACCAGGCATACCCATAAGTGCTCCCATATTTTTTCTTAACTCTTTCAGTCCCGGAGGTTTAGCATCAGAAGCCCAAAGGTAGTCAAGAGGGACATAAATGTGGCGCTTCTTGCATTTATTGGGCTGCTAGGTAGGAATCTATGAACATATGATGCATTCCTTGGGACTGAAAGAGATAAGCATGTTTCTTAGTGTCTTTACGAAGTGAACCCCTGCTCTACACTGGCTGATGTAGCAATGTGAGCTCTTGCGTGGTTTTCACATCATGCTGTCCCCATGTGGGTTCGGGGACCCCATTCTGGGGAAGAGGGTGGGGGCGGGGGGCAGACCCACTATCTCCCTAACAAACATGTCTTACAAGGTGACTAATTACGGTAATTTCCTTTGAAGTTGAATGCATCTGCTTGAGAGGTGAGGAACCAACATTCTGCACAAAAATAAGCCAGATCTGCAAAACAGATCCGAACACAAAACTCAAGCTCTGGAACAAGACCAAAGTCTAGAAATGGATGAACAACCAGAACTTTCCATCAGAGTTTATAGCAGGTGATCGCTAAGAAGAAGAAGACATTGTGCTGCTCCATGTGGTAAACATACTTCACTGCGGAGCTGCTAGAAAAAAATGCTCACCTTCTGGTAATGAATGGATATATTCCTCTTTCAGACGCTGTATCTTCTCTCTGTAGAGGTCCACCAGCCGGTTGTGGAACTCTTCTGTGTGGTCATGACAGTCTGTGATAATATGTTCCTGAATAGAGAGTACAAACAAAACCTCACACATTACTGACTGACAAACATTCAACATAAGACTGGGTCGCATCTCCTCAAGAATGAGACGGCAACATTTACAGGTCACAGTAATGGTCCAAAGGAGAGAAGTGATTGGATTCCAGCGAATGAAGAAGATCATGAAATATTCCTTCACAAGGCAAAAGAGATCAAGGGAGACATAAGTACATAGAGAAGAGATTAAGAGACAGGTGAATGTCTCTATGTGGGAGACATAGAGGAAGCTGCAGGTGATAGCAACAAACAGGAGAGATTGGACAGTCAATCAAAGGCCGATGCACAACTAAGGAAAATAAGGTATTACAAGAAGAGAGAATTAGAAAATACGAATATACCATCTGCTTTGAAACTGCAATGTACTTTATCCCATGTACTCCGTAAGAATATGGTATTTTATATTCTCTAACATGCAACGGGCATCATGTAGCAACAGGCATCATGTAGCAACAGGCATCATGTAGCAACTGGCAGTAGCAGAGGTCCTCTTTTGATGATTGTGGGTGTCCTGGGCATATAACCATCATTGTTCTGTTGCGCTATTATATGTCAAAAAGGGCTCAAAGTCTATCCTGTGAGATCCCTTCAACATCATGAATGGAATCTAGTCCAGAATCTCTAGCTTCTCTCATCAACATCATGAATGGAATCTAGTTCAGAACCTCTAGCTTCTCTCATCAACATCATGGAGGGAATCTGGTCCAGAATCTCTAGCTTCTCTCATCAACATCATGGAGGGAATCTGGTCCAGAATCTCTAGCTTCTCTCATCAACATCATGGAGGGAATCTGGTCCAGAATCTCTAGCTTCTCTCATCAACATCATGGATGGAATCTAGTCCAGAATCTCTAGCTTCTCTCATCAACATCATGGATGGAATCTAGTCCAGAATCTCTAGCTTCTCTCATCAACATCATGGAAATTCCCATAAGTGTTCTGTCCTCCTTATCAGGAGTGACCAGCAAAATGTTCCAATTCCAATAGTGCCAATAGTAGTTTGATTAGATATCCATCTTGCCTGTCCCAAAAGTGTAGAATGTCGACTAGCTTCCCTGGTCATGCCTTGCTGCACCACTCTCTCCAGACCATAATGATCTATTCGTGACTCCGCATTCTTTGTTTCTCCCCAAAGGGCCCTGACCACATCTTGCTTGTCATGCATCGATTCACCACCTAGTAGTGCAGAACTAGCCAATCTTTTTGCCTGTTCATTTCCCAACACACTGCAGTCCCCCCTGCAACTGTCTTGCCTCACAACACACAGCCATTAGTATATATATTTTCTTCTTTCCCCCTCACTGAGCTTCATAGTCAAGGTTTGTGTCCAGTGAATTAAGTCACAACATAATGAGATGGGGTATAACAGTATATTCCCATTGGGGGCCGCGTTTGTGCAGTCGATAGGAGACTCGCTTTCAAATTCAGCTGCAGCCCACTGCCCGGTGTTTGAAACCGGGCAGTTACCAGGGTTCACCCAGCCTCTAGGTAATGGGTACCAGAGTTAACAATCTGGGGTAAATGGAAGAACATTGCTGTAGCTACGGAGTTGCGTGTGGATGGCGATACAGGCGGACAGTTTCTTATCAGCTGTCCATACTGGTGGCAGAGCACTTATGGTTTATAACAGTGTGCAATGACGCTGGTTCACATCTCCCAACTTACCTTACCTTAGTATATTCCCATTGAAACTAAAGAAAACCAAATAAATGAAAACAAATGTCAATATTCAAATACTTACCAAATAGAGCATGGCCAGGTCTATACTGATCTTCTCCAGGTAATCCAGAACCTGGTCCCTGGGCAGAGCCTCAACTTCTGGAAGATCTTCTGTAAATATCTAAACATCCGAAACATAGGTCAGAAAAAATATCACTGCTGGACAGTAGAGGACATAGGAATGTAGATGATAAACAGAAATAACAATTATACACATGGTATTCTGCCAGAAAAATACTAGACTGACTTAGATTCCCCAGAAATGTGGACCTTACTGGGGAAACTGAACACATGAAAGCCAGGCTGGCAGATAATCCTTACTGGGGAAACTGAACACATGACAGCCAACCCGGCAGACAATCCTTACTGGGAAACTGAACACATGACAACCAGCCTGGCAGATAATCCTTACTGGGAAACTGAACACATGAAAGCCAGCCCGGCAGACAATCCTTACTGGGAAACTGAACACATGAAAGCCAGCCCGGCAGACAATCCTTACTGGGAAACTGAACACATGAAAGCCAGGCTGGCAGACAATCCTTACTGGGAAACTGAACATATGACAGCCAGCCTGGCAGACAATCATGCTTTGTCTTGGAAAGCAGATCAAGGAAACAGTAATTAAATTTTTGGTGATCTTAGCTGTATGTCAATATGAAGCTAATTTTAAACTGTCTTGGTCAGAGTTCAATTAGAACACTGTTTTTAATCACATGACTTCAGTTTCAATAGAAATGGCTAGTCAGGGTTTGAGAGGCGGGTGGCAAGGTCAGAGCACATGTGTATAAAAGTAATCTGACTTCACCTGATGCAGGCACTTAATTGTATGCAGGTGTATGGACTCTTCAGGACATCCCCTGCCTCTTCCCTAGCAGACAGGCAATACCAGGGTGTTTTTTTACTTCCTGTATTGAAAGAAAAATTTTTCCATAATGATACAAAGAATCATTGCCGGAGCTACTGAGTGGGCTTGATACCATCTTCAGGCGGTAATGTTTAGAGTGGGAAAGGAGACGTCAAATTAATGGAAAGAAATGAAGGCATAGAAACAGAAGAGTGGGAGTGTGTAGTCAGGTGAAAAAAGAACACCTGGGATTAAAACACATTAGAGTGGGTTACTGGAATTGTCATAGTGCCAGGCAGAGAGGATATTTTCTGGAGAAGCTGATTTATGACTATGATATCATCATCATCATGTTTTAGGAATGAAACATAGACAGATATCAGTGGCCTAGATAAATTAGTTATATAAATCCCACCAGACAGGGAAGACATGGGCAATACCCAAACTGATCATAATGTTCAGGAACTTAGAAATTCATTAAGAAATAATCGAACACTCTAAATAATAGCTATTTTCAGGATATCATTAAGGTGGAGGATATAAAATATACACATTGCAAAAAACAAAAGACAGTGCGTTGGGGCCAGACTGAGTCAGGTATGGCCACATAAAGAGCATGAGTGATTATACTTCAGGGAGATGCTTTTCATTTCAACCAGAGCATCAGAACAGCTTCAGTACCTCAGGATTGGATACACAGCTACCTAATCCCACTTCCAAAACTAGGCAAAGATCATTCCAGACTTAGCGGTTTCAGGTTTTACTGCTTAATTTTGAATTAACAATCGATATCACAGCACTTGGGATATTTCCACAAGTGCCCCATCCCTATCTTCAGCAGCAAGCTCAAAGTTCCAATTCAAGTGGTACCAACAGCAGTCTGATTATATATTCGTTTCACCTTTCCCTTGAGTGCTGATCTCTGACAAGATGTCTGGTCACTCTTTCCAGCACCATTCTCTTCAGACCATGATGATCATTCTGTGCTTACACAGTGTTCACTCGCCTTCAAGGGGCCATTCTCTTCAGACCATGATGATCCATCTGTGCTTACACAGTGTTCACTCGCCTTCAAAGGGCCATTACAAAATCTAGCTTGTCATGTATCAATTCACCACCACGTTGTGCAGAACCAGCCAGTCTATCTGCCTGTTGATTTCCTAATACACCCGCATCTCCTGCAGTATATATCCATAGCATACTAACTACCTAGGACCTTTATAGGCAATGCTTGTCATTTTTCAAGAGCACACCGAACTCCACCTTTCTCAATACACTCTATGAGTCTGTTACAACCACGATGTTTGTAGGTTCTGTGCTCCCTTTATGGTCTTGCGATTTAGTGACCACAGACACATCGTGCTGTTTTAGAGTTTCTCTGATGTTATCTTTCCATATTTCTCTTAGTGTACCTCGTTCTCTACATTCTTCTTCTCTTTAGGTGTATGCCTTATATGGTATGGTATCCTAAGGCATTCTCTCTAAGTGGGCAAACAATTTGATTTGCTGTTTGTGTATGTAATTAAGAATTGGTTATGTGCCGACCTGTTCTCTTATGACCTCATTCCTGGTTTGATCTCTTCTGGTCACTCCTGCAGCCCTTCTAAGACATCTCCTTTCCATGGTTACTACATTTCCTTTTTGGGTTTGTTGTAAGTGGCCTTGTCTGGCATTGCTAGCACATGGTTGGAATGAATATGCTTTGTATGTTTCTTCGTGTTAACTGGGACTGTCTTGTGGTGTAAATGGGAGAGGGGGGGGGGGGGGGGGGACAGCTATCACAATACTTGGTTTGCGATACTGCTTTATGAACAACAAACATGGCAAAATACAAAAGTGGTACCTTTAGTCCATCTTCTGGAAACTGTTTCAAGACCCACTCTGCATACTCAAAAATCAGGTCAATATAGTCAGGACCTATACAAAATATGAGGAATCAGAAGAAAGTCAGGTCAAACTAATCAGAACCTATGGCAGCATGTAAAGTCAAGTCAATCTAATCAGAACCTATGGCAGCATGTAAAGTCAGGTCAGTCTAATCAGAACCTATGGCAGTATGTAAAGTCATGTCAGTCTAATCAGAACCTATGGCAGCATGTAAAGTCAGGTCAGTCTAATCAGAACCTATGGCAGCATGTAAAGCCAGGTCAATCTAATCAGAACCTATGGCAGCATGTAAAGTCATGTCAGTCTAATCAGAACCTATGGCAGCATGTAAAGCCAGGTCAGTCTAATCAGAACCTATGGCAGCATGTAAAGTCATGTCAGTCTAATCAGAACCTATGGCAGCATGTAAAGCCAGGTCAATCTAATCAGAACCTATGGCAGCATGTAAAGTCATGTCAGTCTAATCAGAACCTATGGCAGCATGTAAAGTCATGTCAGTCTAATCAGAACCTATGGCAGCATGTAAAGTCAGGTCAGTCTAATCAGAACCTATGGCAGCATGTAAAGCCAGGTCAGTCTAATCAGAACCTATGGCAGCATGTAAAGTCAGGTCAGTCTAATCAGAACCTATGGCAGCATGTAAAGTCATGTCAGTCTAATCAGAACCTATGGCAGCATGTAAAGTCAGGTCAGTCTAATCAGAACCTATGGCAGTATGTAAAGTCAAGTCAATCTAATCAGAACCTATGGCAGCATGTAAAGCCAGGTCAATCTAATCAGAACCTATGGCAGCATGTAAAGCCAGGTCAATCTAATCAGAACCTATGGCAGCATGTAAAGTAAAGTTAATCTAATCAGGACCCCAAAAAAAAAGAATCCAGGAAGAAGGAAGTAAATAGGCGGACAGATAGATGACAGATGGGTGAAAAAAATCGCCTGGGCTTGGAGAAGAAAAGAGATAACGAAATAATGAAAAAAAAGGGTGACACAGAGAGAAAAGGGTGGGGGGGGGGGGATGAGGAGAATGCAAGGACGGAGAATGAGAGGGTCAAGGGCAGTTAGGAGGAGGCGTCTTAGCCGGTTGGTTGGAAAAGAAGGACGGTAGCTGGTGAAGATGGAGTTGACTGTGTGGCCTAGAGTTAACTTCGTTTAGAAGAAAGACAGTTTTACTTCCTGTCAGAAGTACTTGTGAATCATACATGTACAGCAACAATAACCTCAAGTGTTCATCGTCACTGTAGAATAGAAATCAGCGTCGTACTGGAAATGGCACTACACTGTTATAGTAAACGATCTTAAACTGAAACCAATTATTTGATCGATCACTGACTGTGTTTTGAAACACAAAAGACACACAAACTCTATCTATTATGCTTTGTTCCATTTAGGCATGCTTACGTTTGGGGGGCATAGAAGAACAGATTGTGTCACAGTTATATGACAGTACTAGAAACCTCCACTTACACATCTGATGTTCCATCATAACAAAAGAAACTTTCACATACTTATATTTGATGTTCTATAATACAAGAAACCTCTGCATTTATATTTCATGTTCTAAGATAATACAAGAAATATCTAAATATATAGTCGATGTTCTATGATATCACAAGAAACTTCTAAATATATAGCTGATAATACAAGAAACTGCTTTATATACATTTGATGTTCTATGATGATAAAGTAACTGCCACCTACCCAAATGCTGTAAATACTGGATAGTTCTTTCATGGCCTTTCAGCGGGGACTCAGGTCGAGCAGCTTGCTTCATCAGCAAGTTTAAAGCTACATGACAGGTTTCATAAAAAATTAAATCATCACAACCAAAAATAAACACTATGAAATTAAACGCCTGACTTTAACACAGGAAAAGTTACTGTATCCTTTAGAAAAGTCTCAAAGTCTCCAAAGACTTAGCATCATGAACTGATGGAGAGTCTATTCTCTACAGAAATCTTCTTCTTCTTCTTCGATCCTTCCGCAGAAAACTTATATCAGGAGGCCGGTAGCCTTTATGAAAGCTATCGTACAATCCATATCCTCTCGTGTACCATACAGTTTTGTCTTCAGTGTGGTTGGAACAGGCCAGATTGCGTTTCTGTTGTCAGCATACAGTTGACAGTGTTGGAGCACATGCTCAGCATTTTCGGGTGCCATGCTGCAGGGACACGTCTCCGTAATGATAAAGGAAATCATGGACTGAGATGAGATAGCTGAAGAAAAATGAACAAATACCTATGCCAATAATGATGATGATGAATTACACTACATTTCACAAATCCTCCCTGACGTGTACATGGCTTGGGGTCAACTGTCTTCAGTTATCAATCCCTCAAAACCAGTCAGCCAACAGATCATCCTCAGAAGAGGCTGAACCGTTCAGTCTATAAGTGTGTGTGCATCTCCTTTTCAGTGGCAGCTGAAAACATCAGTCCTTTGATCCTCTGTATATTAGTACTCTTGTAAGTCTATAAACCATTGAATTGAATTTTTGTTTCCCTTGCGAGTTCTGTGGTCACATGCTGAGGAGAAAACTATTAGACCTAATGTCCCCTAATAAGCATGTCGTAAAAGGGCAAATCAATTAGGGATTCGCTGAAATCTGTTGTGTTGGGCAGAAAGGTGCAGATATCATAACCTAGCTGTAAACCACAATGTGCCAACCGCCTATTTCAGGGCCAATGCTGATAAAAAAGAAATATATATATATATATATATATAGCGGCGTCCGTGGCTAAGGCATTGCGAGTCTGACTCGTAATCCAACGTACCGCGATCGAAACCTGCGTGGGCTGCGTGGATTTTTATCGTGGTATGGGACGTCGCAGGTCGACCCAGCCGCAATTGGGTACCAGGATGGGCTGTCCTGGGAAAGTAAAGACGGCCGGCGTAATGCTGACCACATTACCCACCGAGTGTCGATTGGTCTGTAAAAATATGGGTGCTCTTCCCATATGCCCGATGCGCCCAAGGGCGTGTAAAGGGATCTTTAATTTTTACTTTATAAACTGCGTCCTAATGTCGGACACAATTGTTTGTTTGTTTTGTTTTAAAGCCCGACCCTGGCTGATGATTAATAATAATAATATAGAATGTTTGTGTTTTACAAGGCACACACATATATGACCCCTATGAAATAAAATATCTGCTATTCTGATAATGTCATTATTCACACATTGGGCAGCAATGTAACCCTCTTGAGACTTAAAGCATTACAAATTATAATAATGTTATACATTTTAAGAATAACTTGTTATTTACTAAAGTTACTTTCCAATATGTATCAAGATCAGAAGTCTGGGTAGAATAATGGCTCACCTTTTTGATGCAAGCCTTTTTTCTCATAAAGAATGATCAGTTCCGAGAATTTTTCCTTCTTTTTGAGGACTCGTTCACTCTCCTCAATATGGCAGTTGTTGTCTTTGAGCCGAAGCAGAGGAGCCACCAGAGCATCATTGGTCTGTTCATAAATACAACAAACATAAGATACCCAGACAGTACAAATCTATTCCAGTGCTACTGCACTCTTTGTTTTCTACTTTATGAGTAAACAGGAAAAAGCAGTTATTTCCCTTTATGCAGAAATAAACTAGTACCCTGATCTATACATTCAGTGACTGGAAAAAATTATTATTTTAAGTAACATGACGTAAAGAACCAGCAAACTACTCGCCTACCTGTCAGCTTAAGGGTCTAGGGTTTTAATTTCTGGATATTCAAAAATAGCTGACCAAGATTCCAAATTTATTCTGCTTTTTCTTCTCATATTCTAATTTCTTAGGATAGAGTTTTAGAGTATTGTCGGCATCTGTGGCTTTGCCAACTGGCTTTGTAATGTCGAGGTGCCGGGTTAAATCACAGCTGCAGGTGATTTGACAGCAGAGAGCACTGTGTTATTTTCAACAGGTGACATTGAGAGCCGACCATTCAAGATAATGGAAAACTGAACATAAAATAATTACCAAGTGAAATCAAAAACAGCCAAAAAATACTGGTGTTGGTTCTGCAACGCCCTGAAAAGGACACACAACTAACTAACCTTATGCTATTACAAAGATGTGTTTCTTAAAATGTATTTGAAAGGAAGATAATTTTTATTAGACATTTTTTATGGGGCTAGGGGTTAAGCCACTGGAATAATTAAACCCATAACTTTAACAATTTACTAAAGGTTTGCTTACAGTTCAACTCTGTGAGCCTGCGTCGATAGAGGCTAACCCTGCAAGGCAGCAGAAAGGAGAGTTTACGTATGGTACTTCTTAGCTACCGATATTAAGTTTTAGTGGATGTAATAGCTATCCCATCAACTAACATTCCTTCTCTCAAGCACCACCAACGACCATTTATTCAGCTCTAGATCTAGAGGCCACTTCACCACACACCTCCAGGTGGACATGCTTAGTTAGAGGGCAGGCTAATACCCTAATTATACCCAGGGCAAGAACACAGTTCTCCCTTACGCACTGGACACTGCAGAGTCAATGAGCACTTATATAAATCAGATGTCAGTTAAACAGCTCTCTGCCAGTGTCTTCTAGCTGAATAGATTCCAGAAAATGTCTGCAAGACTGTCCTCTCCTGGAGCAGCTGCGTAACAACATGTGGCCACAGCCAGTAGACCTGATGACTAAACTTTGGGGAAACCTAAGATTTGGGGAAACCGAAGATTTGGGGAAACCTAGGATCTGGGGAAACCTGAAGATTTGGGGAAACCTTAAGATTTGGGGAAACCTTAAGATTTGGGGAAACATAAGATTTGGGGAAACCTAAGATTTGGGGAAACCTTAAGATTTGGGGAAACCTTAAGATTTGGGGAAACCTAAGATTTGGGGAAACCTAAGATTTGGGGAAACTTAGGATTTGGGGAAATCTTAGATTTGGGGCAACCTAAGAATTGGGGAAACCTAAGATACCTTGAAATGACATCCCAGTGTATGGCCCCCAGCGGGTAAAATGCACAACCAGAGATCATTGAAGAAGAAGAACACAGATCTGATCCAAGATTATCTGATGTAAGATGTCAAGCCATGACCACACATTAGTCTAATCAATATGCAACATGAAGTCATAATCTTCCTGCATAAAATTCACACACCCTATGAGAGTTAATCATAAGTTATGAATAGCAGCAATAGAAACCTACCTCTAAGTAACACTTTAACAGGGTAGTGTCAATGATCTGGCTCAGTTGTTTGCGTGAGTTAATTGTCTTGTTTCCTTCCACAATTGCTGTGGTTGTCATCTCCTTATCAATGTCCTTTGACAGTTCATTTCGTTTCTAGATGAAAAGTCAAGATATACATACACATACATAAATACACACACAGACATAAATACTCAATGTATCAGAAAAAATGAATATTCATCATTATAACTGTTCTTTAGGCTGCAGTAAAAACATGGAATACAATAGTTCCCTCACTTCCAGTAGATTGGTGGCAAAACACATAAAAAGCTGCAAACAGCCATGGTTTCTATGGCACAGTTGTTTACGGCCAAGCTGAGGGTGCCACAATAATTGTTGTTCTTGCTTGCAAATCCTCCAGAAAACTGAGTTTTAACTCTTAACCACTTGACCCAGGTTTATTTTTTTAAACAAGGTCATGACCCTGTTGCAATACCAGAAAAAATCCTTAAAATATATTTATTTATACAGTTCACTACAAATGTGTTAAAAATGGATTTATCTAGATTTAGAAAAAGTGTGTTTGTGTGCGTGCGTGCGTTTGTGTGTGTGTGTGTGTATATATATACATATATATGAAAGCAGCATATAAATCGTTTCCCCCCCCCCCCTCCTCCAAAAAAATTGATGCAGTATATGTTTGTAACAGGTCACTCATGCTGTGACCCAGTGACTTCTATCAGTGAGACATGGGAAAATTTTATATCAATTTCGCTTGAACAAAATAAATTTGGCTCAAAGAAAAACCTCTCAAACACTGTCTGCAGTTAATGTATTCATATCCTGACCTCCTAAACTCAGTGCCAAAATATTATCTTTATGAGGTGTACTGAAAACTCTTCTTTACTTCTCTAAGCTCAGAAAATAGTAGGGTGTGTATGCAAGAATGGTGTTGGAACATATCCGTGAACAGGCATTTTATGCTGGAACTTGGTCATGATTCAGTAAAGGACATCCCCGTGTGCATCCCAGGGCCTCATTTTATGCTGGAACTTGGTCATGATTCAGTAAAGGACATCCCCGTGTGGGTCCTAGGGCCTCATTTTATGCTGGAACTTGGTCATGATTCAGTAAAGGACATCCCCGTGTGGGTCCTAGGGCCTCATTTTATGCTGGAACTTGGTCATGATTCAGTAAAGGACATCCCCGTGTGGGTCCTAGGGCCTCATTTTATGCTGGAACTTGGTCATGATTCAGTAAAGGACATCCCCGTGTGCGTCCTAGGGCCTCATTTTATGCTGGAACTTGGTCATGATTCAGTAAAGGACATCCCCGTGTGGGTCCTAGGGCCTCATTTTATGCTGGAACTTGGTCATGATTCAGTAAAGGACATCCCTGTGTGGGTCCTAGGGCCTCATTTTATGCTGGAACTTGGTCATGATTCAGTAAAGGACATCCCCGTGTGGGTCCTAGGGCCTCATTTTATGCTGGAACTTGGTCATGATTCAGTAAAGGACATCCCCGTGTGGGTCCTAGGGCCTCATTTTATGCTGGAACTTGGTCATGATTCAGTAAAGGACATCCCCGTGTGGGTCATAGGGCCTCATTTTATGCTGGAACTTGGTCATGATTCAGTAAAGGACATCCCCGTGTGGGTCCTAGGGCCTCATTTTATGCTGGAACTTGGTCATGATTCAGTAAAGGACATCCCCGTGTGCGTCCTAGGGCCTCATTTTATGCTGGAACTTGGTCATGATTCAGTAAAGGACATCCCCGTGTGGGTCCTAGGGCCTCATTTTATGCTGGAACTTGGTCATGATTCAGTAAAGGACATCCCCGTGTGGGTCCTAGGGCCTCATTTTATGCTGGAACTTGGTCATGATTCAGTAAAGGACATCCCCGTGTGGGTCCTAGGGCCTCATTTTATGCTGGAACTTGGTCATGATTCAGTAAAGGACATCCCTGTGTGGGTCCTAGGGCCTCATTTTATGCTGGAACTTGGTCATGATTCAGTAAAGGACATCCCCGTGTGCGTCCTAGGGCCTCATTTTATGCTGGAACTTGGTCATGATTCAGTAAAGGACATCCCCGTGTGGGTCCTAGGGCCTCATTTTATGCTGGAACTTGGTCATGATTCAGTAAAGGACATCCCCGTGTGGGTCATAGGGCCTCATTTTATGCTGGAACTTGGTCATGATTCAGTAAAGGACATCCCCGTGTGGGTCCTAGGGCCTCATTTTATGCTGGAACTTGGTCATGATTCAGTAAAGGACATCCCCGTGTGCGTCCTAGGGCCTCATTTTATGCTGGAACTTGGTCATGATTCAGTAAAGGACATCCCCGTGTGGGTCCTAGGGCCTCATTTTATGCTGGAACTTGGTCATGATTCAGTAAAGGACATCCCCGTGTGGGTCCTAGGGCCTCATTTTATGCTGGAACTTGGTCATGATTCAGTAAAGGACATCCCCGTGTGGGTCCTAGGGCCTCATTTTATGCTGGAACTTGGTCATGATTCAGTAAAGGACATCCCTGTGTGGGTCCTAGGGCCTCATTTTATGCTGGAACTTGGTCATGATTCAGTAAAGGACATCCCCGTGTGCGTCCTAGGGCCTCATTTTAGGGGGAAAAGAACAGACCCACCTCCACAACAAGCATGCAGCAAAAGGTGACTAAGTGGGGGTTTGCTGAAACTGGATGTGTTGGCCTGAAAGATGCAGGTATCACAGCCTAGCTGTAAACCCCAAGACAGCATGCCTTCCTTCTATTTAACGGAGAATGCAGAAGAAGAAGAAGCACAGAACACAAGCTGGGAAAAGGGATAGGTTGATATTGTGACAAAAAGACAGAATAAACACATAGTTTTGTGTAGATCATTCACCAATGAGCCTTTAAATCTCCATCAATCTCTTTTAAACCCTGTGTAGACTCCAGGTCCTCACTGTGGGGGGAAAGAATAGACCCACTGCTCTTAACAAGCATGTCATACAAGTAGACTAGTTAGGATGTTTACTTCAAAGTCGGAGTGTGTCTCTGCCTGCAGGCTGAGGGAACCAACAGACGGCAAACAAATAAGCCCCATTTGTACGTGGATCTGCTCGAGTTTACAACCAGTGAAGGTGAAGATGAAGAAGAACACCACTACCATCACCATAACTATGATCTAATGGCCATGTTTACTCACCTGAGTTAGATATTCTATCAGAGCCAACAGGCCTTTCTCATGCTCCACACCTTGGATCTCTGGAACTTTCTCAGGGTACTCTAGTTTATTTCTGAAGTCTTCAGGTAACAATCCTGGATAGAGGCCAATCACATGGGAGGGATCTGGGAACACAAAGACTCTGTCTGATGAGCATATCCCTGCTGAAATATTTCAATGCATTCAAAGTAAAACAAAGTTAGTTGAATTCCTGTACAGGACACTGTAAAACCCTAGGGTTCTAATCACATTTGGCCAGGAGTGCAGGACTGGCCAGCAGGCACTGCAGTCAGAAATGCAACTGATAACAATAATTCCCACCCAGGTGATGTTATTGTCTACAAAGATGGTTCCATACATGGGGGTTCACTGCAAAAGCAAATGGACGATGCTTAGTGCAACAAAGTTTAGCATATAATACTACTACTTCTTCTCATTCATCCAAGTGACGTAAAAAGCACTGTGCCTCTTTACAGAAAAGCTGCAATATTTGAGCATTCTGGCTGACTCATCCAGCTTCATCGGGCACTTGTTCACAAGCTTAGCCTTCACATCAATGTTGGAAACTGCAACATCTAGTTCGAGAATGGAGATGAAGGTGGTCACAGCAGCTTTCCACTGGCTTGAGAACAACGCACATGTCAGAGTGGCAAGTATCACTTCAGAAGTCCTGGGTGGTTACCGCTGGCTTGAGAACAACGCACATGTCAGAGTGGCAAGTATCACTTCAGAAGTCCTGGGTGGTTAGCGTTCTTTGGATATTTTCTACGAGAAGGCAGGAGTGTTGGGAAATAAACAGGCAGATAGACTGGCAGGTTCTGCACCAATGGGTGATGAATTTATTCATGACAAGCTAGATGTAGTCAAGGCCTTTTGGGAGTGAACAATGTAGAGACATGAATAGATTTTTATGGTCTAGAGAAAATGGTACAGCTAAAAGTGACCAGGGGTTTTAGTCGACATTCTACACTAAAAAAAAAAAGACAAGATGGACATATAATCAGACAGCTATTGGCACAATCAGAACTGGAACTCCTGGCTGGCTGCCGAAGATGAAGATGAAGCACTTATGAGGATGTCCTGAGTGCTGTCATGTCAGTTCTTAGCTCAGCATTCAAAAACTACAGTACAATGCAAGCCAACCCCAGCATCTATTTGCTGTTTGTGGTTTCAACGTTTAGTAGTTTGCCATTGCTTTCTTAATGGTATGACACTCATATCATTGCTGAAATCACCACAAAATGATCTTCCTTTAAAATAGTACTGCTAAAAGATTCACACATACTTGTATATGCAGTAGAAAAAAAAATTTGTTTAAAGTTAAGAACCCTTTTTTCACACCTTCAGCATATTGGGTATATAGGGTCATATATATTTTTTAGATCGACCAGCACTCAGTGGGTGAAGTGGTCAACATAATGCTGGTAGCTCTAGCATGGTGTCTGCCTCCAGTACCGGAGGTCCTGGGTTCAAGCCCCAGTGAAGGCTGGGATTTTTTCTCGTGGACTTCTAGTAATTTACCTTGGTCTCTGGGAAGTAAGATCGGACGCCCGTTGTCACAGACCTCGGGGTGACCTTGCTGGTCCGTGGCTCGTAACTGGGCCTATGACAGACAAACTAACCTTTAACACACACTGAACCCGAACGCACACAGAGCACACACGACAATCTTTATTGCAAGTACAGGTAATACAATAGACAGTTGACTTCCCGCTGTGTGGCCACCTATTGCCTGGACCCTCTGGCCAAACGAGCTTTACAATCGCCTCGCTCCCCAGTACGTTCCACAGGCAATCTCCTGGTGCACAAACCACACTGGCACGAGATACGCTCTTACCTATCGACACACTGACCAACCAAACTGTCACAGCCTCTGTCTAGTGCAGGGTCAGAGTGCCAAGGTTAGACATTCTCTCACAGAACATGTACCTAAACGATTTAACTGGTCAGAAGTAACTGGACACTATTTACTTATGGTGGCACAACACAATACCTTGTACCAGTTAAATACACAGCACAAAAGACTATCCTATATTACAGAACACTGTAAATAATCTATGCAGTCACTAAAGAAATATCCTAACTCTAATATACTATCACTGTCTCGCTAACACATCTGCTCCGTCTGACCGTTGTCCACCGAATCCCCTGCGTTCCTTTCACCTCGTGTCTCTTGACCCGTTCACCTGCTCAGTCCCGAAAGGGGTAATCGTGTTGCGAACTTGTCTGCAACAGAGTTCACTCTTTCTTGTCGTGGCCAAGCGGTTTCTCCTGAGCGCTAGTTTCACCGTGCAATAACAGAACAGACTTGACCAGTTATGGCCCTGACCTTTGTGTCAACCCTGGGGTGTCACCTGATCACGCACACCCTACGGTGTGGTCCATTCCGCCACTGACTGTACTCATAGGGTTGTGACATCCGTGTGTATTGCTGCGCACGCAAAAAAACCCATGGCAGCTGGAAATTGAAAAAGAAAGTGACTTCCCTTCCCATTCATGTCTCATTGTGTCACAGGGCCCATCCTATTTTGCAGTGGTGTCGCGTTTAGTGAGAGTCCAGTTCTATATTCCACAATGTGAGCGGTCCCATAACACATAGATCTGGCCCTAACCTCAACCCCACAGCCGACGTTCCAAGAAAGAGTGCAGCCTACGTCCCACGACTGCATGGAATATAGAACAGGCGATATTGCGGCCACTGACAACAATGAGTAAAATACTACATGTTGTTGGACACTCACTTAGCGTGACACAAGTGCAACACAGGACGGGCCCTGCGATATGACATGGCATGAATGGGAAGGGAAGTCACTCTCTTTCTGGGGGTGGAAAACGTAAAAAGAAACAAATTAACAAATACACACATAAAATAATAAAATAACCTGAGGGGTCATGGAGAAATATAATAGGCAATAAACTGTACACTCTATTGTGCATGTGTTTGTTTAAATTTACTTGAAAGAAATATTCCTTTGTTACAAATGAAAAACAGACTTAAGAATTCAGTGTCCATGTGGCACATACTCTGCAGCTCAGCTGTAAACCGCACACAATGTGACAACCACTCTTCTAAGAATGAATGAAGATAAATAACAGCAGGAATGTAATGAATAAATAGTATGGGATGCCAAATGTGCAAAGACGTTGACTGTGATAGCATAACGTAACATAACATAATGACTAAAGAATATGTAAAATGATCAGCTTTATACCTGTGCCCAACTTGGCAAACAAGGCTAATGATTCTTCAAATCTTTTCTGGCAAAACAAGTCAAAAGCATACAGGTTTTTTATATTTCTGATTCTTTTTTCCTTTTCACTCTCTGGCTCCTCTGCTAATTCCTGAAAAAGTAAGAACACAAAAATGGTGACAATGGGATAAAATATTAAAGAAAAGGGGAATAAAGAAACCAGCTAATAAATTATAATGATGTGTTGCAAAATATGTTTTCTTCAACAATTAACAAAGGGGAACAAAATTTTTTTACACTACAATGAAAAAAAAAATACTAACTTATAATGCATTTTTTTAAAGCTAGTAAATTTTCATTATCTAAAGAAAGCATAACACTAAATTTAATAATAACTAACTTTGTTTGAAAGTGGAAAGAAAACACTCATAAAAATCCAGGAGTAAAAACAAACTGGACAGTTAATAAAATGATCTGCCCAGTAAGTACACCTTGAATGCCATACCATACAAGGCATACAGCAAAAGAGGAGAAGGATACATAGCACAAGGTAGACCAGGAACACCATGGGAAGATAACATCAAAGAAACTCTACAACAGTATGGTGGGTTTATGGTCAGATAATCAGAGGAACAAGAAGCAGAACCTAAGATCTCCCTCAACAACGAAAGAGATGCAAAAGGAAGTGAAGAAGAAAAACAAATCAAATGCAAAACAACAAAAAATGGCACAAATGGCAATAATGGGGGACAAGGAAATACAAACATTCTGCAAAGGTAAAAAGTAAAAATATATTTTTTCATTTCTGTTTTCATCAACAGGTAACTAGTTCTTCCCAAACAAATAAATGTTGAATAACTGAATTGAGAATCAACATCACAGCACTCAGGACACTCCAATTAGCACTGCATCCCCACCTTCAGCAGCAAGCAAAGAGTTCTAGTTCCGATGACACCAATTACTGTCTGATTCTACATCTGTCTCGCCTTTCCCTTGAGTGTTAAACGTTAGCCAAATCTCCTGGCAACTCCCCGCATCACCATTCTCCTCAGACCGTAATGATCTATTTGTGCCTTTGCACTATTTACTTGCTCCCAAAGGGCCTTCACAACATACAGCTTGTCATACATCTATTCACCACCAAGTGGTGCAGAACTGGAAAGTCTATCTGCCAGCTGTTTCCCAACACACTAGCATAACTTGAGAGAAAATATCCAAAGGAGGCTAATTACCCGGGACATCTAAAGCGATGCTAGTCACTCTGCATGGAGCATGCCTGTCTCCACCATTCTCAACATACTCTGTGAGTCAGTTACAATTACGACGTGTGTACAGCTGATTCACAATCCAGCGGAAGGCAGCAGTGACTGCCTCCACTTCCATTCTCAAACTAAACGTTGTAATATTATAATCCAGGCTTTGCTGCACTAAGCGACATCCATTCGTTTTTGCTATGAACCCCCATGCACTTCATCTACCTCTCAACACAGCGCCATCTATCTTTGCATTCAAGACTTTAATTGATTAGAACCCTACACAAGTCTGATTCTTGCTTGGACACTTTGACCCACTCTGCTCCTCGCCAAAATGTATCTTTACAAACATCTGCTTTCATTACAGCCTTCTAGAAAGACCAGTGATTCTTCATCAGCCCCAACTCTACCCCTACCCCAACCCCCTCATGTATTATCATGCCTGTTTGTTAGCATCTTCTTATACCTTTTCATCTAACAATGAAGAATGGAATGACTCTAAGCAGCAACATCCAAAATTATAAGACAGATAGAAGACTAGAGGATCATGACTGCTGACGCCTGCACTAGACTAGGCACTTAAAGAAGAAGAGAAGAAAAATAGCCAGCAATGTAGCTGGACTAGCATGAAGCTAGTTAAACTATCATGTACAAATGTTACCAATGAAATTAATAAGACGGCAGTAAATTAGCAGCATGAATATTCACTGAATGATCATGTATGCTACAATTGTATCTATTACTTACAGCCAATTTTAAAGCCAGTTCAAACTGTTTGGCTTGTAGCAGCTGTTTTATCTGGTTAGCGTTTGGAGTAGGTGCAAGTCGCCAGACATTGTTAGGGGATGCTACATAGATACAGCCACTGAAAGAAGAAAAAATACGTACATGTATAATACAACTGGAGCTGTTGTAGACCCAAAAGTCTAAGGTCTGAAACAACATTAGGCAGGATTGTTTATAATTAACCTTGGCTCTCTGACCCAGCCTAAAATGGGTACTAAAAATATCTTGGGAAGTAAAGGAAGCGGGGGTGCTGTTGATATCATCCACTGAGTGCCGACAGGTCTGTTAGAAATATGGAATAGCAGCATGTGCCTGATGCACCACTGGAGCGAAAAGGGTCCTTGACTTGACTGACTTAATACAGTGCCCTGTCCAGGAAAGGAGACCATGGAATGTAGTGCATGGAGGGAAAAGGGTCCTTGACTTGACTGACTTAATACAGTGCCCTGTCCAGGAAAGGAGACCATGGAATGTAGTGCATGGAGGGAAAAGGGTCCTTGACTTGACTGACTTAATACAGTGCACTGTCCAGGAAAGGAGGCCTTGGAATGTAGTGCATGGAGGGAAAAATCAGAAAAGCAATGGGCATAAAGACTACAGATACATTAACAGTTGAGCGCTGTAGAAGAAATAGGTCAACTACACATGATGGCAACAATGGTCCTGAAATCCTACTCTCTAACTGTGAAGAGTTCTCTCAATGTGAGCAGGTCTGGTTAGTCACATTTGTCACTGCCATGGGCTGTGAAACCCATACCTCTCTACAGCACAGAACACTACTATCTTGGAAAATGGAAAGGTGCCAACTTAATAACTAACTTTACTATGTGGGTTTCATGAGTTCCAGGGCTTCACTTAGGAGGGGAGGGAGGGGGGGGGGGGCACACAAGAAAACACCCCTACACCCCTAAAAGCACATCATAAAAGTCAACTTATTAGGGAATTTCCTTTGAAGTTGGAGTGCATCTGCCTGAGACGTAAGGAACCAACAGTCTGCTTACAAATAAACTGGATCTGTAAAACCAGTGTGCAGGCAAAACTCCAATTGTGGAAAATAGACTGAAGTCAGAAGTGGACAAACAACCAGAACTTCCTGCCAGAGTTTCACAGCCAGTGTACATGAAGAAGAAGAAGAAGAAGAAGAAGTAGAAGAAGAAGAAGAAGAAGAAGAAGAAGAAGAAGAAGAAGAAGAAGAAGAAGAAGAAGAAGAAGAAGAAGAAGAAGAAGAAGAAGAAGAAGAAGAAGAAGAAGAAGAAGAAGAAGAAGAAGAAGCTAACAAAAATAAGATCTCTAAAATCCTTGTGAGGATGTAACCTGTAATGACTACAGAAGCCACCAAGATACACAGAACAATCAAGTATTAAAGTTGAATCTCTGTACCTGTAAAAGATCTATGCTCTCCTCGTGTAACTGCAGTTGTGGTGTTCAGTGCAACTACCCAAGGCACACAGGAGACTTCATCAGCAGAGTTGGTCACAAGGCCACTGTCTTGGTAAAATTATGAGGAAAGAAAACCTACACAAGGACACATAATCCAATACCCCAGATGAAATCTGTCAGCAGAAAGTAAACTTGACCCAAAAGCATGCTAAAATAGGACATGCTGACCTCTGAGGAATATAAATTGGAATGATACACTCCCCTTAAAGAGGAATGAAGAAGAAAGGGTGCTTTATTATTATCTTACCCAAACAGGAAAATCCAGAGGTCGCGGGACAGTCTAATATTTTAGGGGATGGTAGATAAGCTGCATGCAGTTGTGGGACCTAGGCTGCATGCAGTCGTGGGACCTAGGTGGGTAGGGGTTAGGGCCAGTTCTAGATGTTTTGGGGTCATTAAAAGCATCAGAAAACTGGGAAACCCAGTCTTAAAACCCTCTAAAATTTCGGACTGTCCTGTGACATCATCTGGGGGTAGGATATTAATAAAGCACTGAAAAAAGGACAAGAAAAGAAGATAGTAGATGAGGTGACTATGGGAAAATTGGCACAAAGCTGGTAACTCAATACTGTACAGGTTTTTTTCCTGCTACTGGCACCTCTTTATGGCATCATTTTTTTTTTCAGTGCTGCTGAATTAGGCTCTTTTTTTAAAGACTTAATTTGGTGAGAACTGGCAACTCTTTATCTAGAAAAACCCCAGTGGAAGTGGGGACAGGGAGTAGACTAAGTTAACCAACAACAATAAATATACTTACTCCCCCTGACATATCAAGCGTGTTTTCGGCAAGGAAATATTCTGTATCAAATTCTTGGGGTCAATGGTGCGAACTTCCACAAACTTCTGCAGTATGGCAATCAAATATGGTGGACTGTGCTCTGCAGGACAAGAGAACAATGATAGTTCTTGATGATAAATCGCTTGTGTGAAGTTAAGTGTAAAGTGATTTCATTAAGAAGTGGGAAAAACATAAAGAGGTTCTAGTAATGTTCTTTGCCTTAAACACATCGTGATTGGCTGTTCATTCATGCTTCGTGACCTTTCACAGGTGGTTGTCTAAGTTACAGGGGTGTGACACTGTGTTGTATTTGATCTTCTGAGCCGTGTATATTGCACATGGTGTACCGGTTGGTGTGAGTGGTATATTATAACTTTATCAGACTTTAGGTAGGACATAAATTTACTTCAGCTGTGAGCATTGAGGAGCGACAAGGAGAGCAGCGTTGCTTTTCCGCAGCAAGACATCCACTGCAATATCGGTCTTCAACTGAACCAGTGCCAAAGTCGACCGATGATACTCTGATGTATGTTTAGATTCCTGGCATCCTGACTCTGACTTTTTCCTGCCTGCAATCGGCCAATAGCAATATTTCTTAAATTTATCGACAGAGGCGCCATTCGTGACAGCTTGAAAATGAGCTGAATGTTTAGGTGTAGCGTTTTCCTTTTACAGGGTTTCAACTGCGTATGCAGTGAATAGTGTTTACCCCAAATTGTGTTGCTTTCGCGTGTGCACATCATGAGCTATTTCACAAATATGGTCTTTAAGCACAACTGACCATTGTGTTGTAACGATTACAAAAACCCACGCAATTCACACCCACTGGACACGGTAAACAACATTTGAGTCTGCTTTTCACATAGCCGAGTACGATATTTTATTTACAAACTTATAAAAATGCACTATCAGATAACTATGCGTTTTTTGGGGGGGAAATGTGTGTGTGTGTGTATTTATATATACCAGTAACATCCACATACACACCCACAAAGAGAAAGAGAGGTGTGTAACTCTGTCTGCCTGCTCCCCCACAGCTCTTTCACACCCTTTCCCACTTCTAAATACTTGCTGCAAAACAAAACAATAATATCCTGCCTTTACTGAAAATTAAATTCAGCCTAGCAATTAAGTCAGTCTGTAATGCAACAAGTTTTACATCTACTTTCCAACACAGCAGAGAAGATGAAGCCTACCCATCGCACAGGGAATGTCTGACCAGTTGATTGGCTCCTTCTGAGTGGGGTCTCCATCAGCGTTGATGAGGATGGACATGTGATCTCGGCCTAGGGCTAGTCTGTCGTCACGAAGCCGGGTGACTAGCGGGTCTGGCTGGTTGCTCCCCACTGGAAATAACTCCTTCAAGTTGCCATTTTTCGACTGCACCAACAATCAGCAGCCAGGATTTTCAATAAAAAATGGTTAAAATGAAATATACGAAAGATTGATGTGGCAAATGATGTAACATGCACAAATACAAAAACTATAAACAATTTCAAAATGTAATTTATGAATATTCGGTGTGTTACCAGGGCCCTAACAGGAAGCAAAGAATAGTAACACTGCACCCAACCAGGCATGCCGCAAAAGGTGACTAAGGTAGAGTTAGGTTTGGGGTTGGCTACCTTATCCCATAAAAAAAATAGCTAAAATATACCAACCAACCATAGCAAAGTAAACAAGTTACGCCCAGCCAACCGAAGTGGAAGGGCGGCCTTTTAAAATAGACGAAAGATGATGTCGACACATGTTCTTTCCCAAGGAAAATCTCCAGAACTGGTACCTGGTATGTTAGAATTGTGTGTGAAGTTGGAAGGATGGGAAGTATATAGGGTGAGCTGCATACGATGATAAGGTATAGGATGATTAGGCATTAGTTGGCTGATATCTATGTTCCACTAGGGGAAGTAAGAAAAAATAAGAATAATAATTAATGAATACCCTCAGCGTATAACTTAAAAAGTTTCACAAATATCTACAATTATGAAAAAAATTGTTTTCCACATATTTAATGTCAAATGCAACAACTAAAAATACAAGGCAAGCCTCTCTTTACAGAACAGTCTTACCAGTTTAAACAAGTTCTCACTCATGCACACAAACACCTGCAATGTCTGTCCCAGTCCTTTATCCAAATTTACATTTAAACATGTTACTACTGTTTGTTATAACTGCTCTCAAAGTAATGTTGAAATAACATATTTAAGGATGCTTGAGCATGGATTCAAACATGGTTCTGACAAGAATGTGTGACCTATTTATAACCAGCGATAGTGGAGTAATTAACAACTTTACCTTACATTAGCTGAGAGAGACAGTGCATCTATGTGCCTGCTTTGCGAGCGATAATCTCAATTCCTAAAACCAAGAACTAAACAACATCTACCTTACAGTTTTCTACTGGAACATGCATGTTTATCAATCACAATTTGTTTCTTAAATCATTTTTTCTTCCTTTTTTTTCTAGGTGTCTGGTCTGAAACAATCAATCACTGTTTTCAAAACTTCTCTACCGAACACAATTTTAGAATAATTAATGTTGATTATATATTTTTTTATTGTCAGGGGTTTAAGTTTTCCATATACAGTTGTCTATGCTCCTCTGCATTTTTGACTTTTTCTCCACACAAGGTGAATTTCTATATCCCACCTTTTGTGCCTCATAAATTTCATGTTTTTCCTTATGGAAAAAGATACAAAAGATCATCATCATCATCATCCGGTGCCTTGCCGACAGGCGCAGGCGATCATGCCTCTCCATAATCTGCGATCTCCTGCAGCATGTATCAGTTCGCGTGCTCCCCCGTGTGGGTTCCGGGGCCCCATTGTGGGGAAAACAAGAATAGACCCACTGCCTCCCCAAAAGCATGTCGTAAGAGTCGACTAATTGGGGAGCTTCCTTTGAAGTCGGAGTGCATCTGCCGGAGAGGCAAGGAACCAACAGTCTGTATTCAAGAGAATGAGATCTGTAAAACTGATGCACACGCAACACTCAGGTTCTGGAGCAGGACTGCAGTTCAGTAATGGACGAGCAACCAGAACCTTCCGCCAGAGTTTACAGCTGGTGAACGCGAAGAAGAAGAAGAAGAAGTTCGCGTGCTGACACACCATACAAGAGAAGCAAATATAAAAAATATAAAAACCAGTCTGGTGTAAGCTGATTCAGATTCATGCTCTAAGATAGGAACATCAAAAGACATAACACTTTTAAAAAAATGATACTTGAGGAAAACACTGAAGGCAAGGCAGCTAGAGGTAGACAATGATTCAAGCAGAATGACAACATCAAGAAATGGACGAGCAGCAGTGTCAGAGAGTGTACTATCAAGACAAGAGACAAAGTGTGTGGGAGATACATTGTAGCTAACCTTCCTTGAGGAGACAGCACCTGACAGACTGATCCAATACAGGATTACAAAACACAAGAAGAATTGTGATTAGGATCTTTTTTTTTTTCAATGTAAATTTATGAAATAGTGAAAGAACATGCAAATTCATCTTACATTAATGATGTAGTAATCTCTCTTGAAGCCGACACACAAGGAATCTTTGCACCAGGACAGGGCATGGGGGAAGTCATAGAGGCTTAAATCATTCTGAAAATCAAGATACATCCAATAAAACAATGCTTGCATATAAGAAACATTTGTCACTGTTTGATCAACCAGTACAAAATTATTAGTACTAGAGACACAACATCATCTGCCGTCTTCCTTGGTAAATAATGAATTGTTGAAATGCTGACTGCACAGACAAGTGGCCAATGATTATAGTCTGTAAACACACCTATCCTGTCCCCACCTGTCATCATGTTTGTTATAGCAACAGTTTTTCATTGTTTGATCAACCAGTACAAAAGTATTAGTACTAAAGACACAACATCATCTGCCATCTTCCTCGGTAAATAATGAATTGTTAAAATGCTGACTGCACATGTGGCCAATGATTATAGACTGTAAACACATCTATCCTGACCCCACCTGTCATCATGTCTGTTTTAGCAAAAGCGATGCCAAATGTAAAAATAACTGGGAATGAAGACTCATGTTAACCGTCTTGTGTCCACCTACACAATCTTGGCAACTGGTGTGCTTGAAGCCACAAACATCAGTCGCACATCCTTGCTGGAAAACAGATTACTTGGCAACTGGTGTGCTTGAAGCCACAAACATCAGTCGCACATCCTTGCTGGAAAACAGATTACTTGGCAACTGGTGTGCTTGAAGCCACAAACATCAGTCGCACATCCTTGCTGGACAACAGATTACTTGGCAACTGGTGCGCTTGAAGCCACAAACATCAGTCGCACATCCTTGCTGGAAAACAGATTACTTGGCAACTGCAGGGTTTCCTATTACATTATTTGGTTGAGCAGGGTTTTTAGGATTTGCTCCTGTTTCTTCTTCTTTCTAGAGTTCACTGGCTGTAAACTCTGATGAATGTTCTGGTTGTTAATCCACTTATGGATTTTGGTCTTGCTACAGAAGTGCAGTTTTGCATTTACATCTGTTTTACAGCTCTCGAGTATGTGTATGCAGACTGTTGGTTCCTCACCGCTCAGGCAGATGTACTTTGACTTGAAGGAAACACTCCTAATTAGACGATATGCTTGTTGGGAGTGAGTCTATTCCCCCCTCCTCCATACACACACACACACACACAATGGGGCCCTGGAACCCACGTGGGCATACTCCTGTTTGATACACATTCAAATAGCGGCTCCCAAGTCACGGGTGTTGATCCTTCAAGTTGCTATCCTGGAGGGGACTTTCCTTTATTCCAAATAGCCCTTGAAGCCAGAACATCAGCTCCATCTTTATTGCAGACATCTGATAACAGGAAGGCTGCATGCATGCATGGCATCCCCCTTGAGTGCTGGAGGTCCCAGGTTCAGGCCCTGCTGATGATTGGGATTTTTTTAAACGTGGACTTCTAGTAATTTCCCCTGGTCTCTGGGTAGTAGGATCAGAACACCCGTTGGTATTGCTGCGCACGTAAAAAATTCCTTGGCAGTTGAAAATTAAAAAAACGACCCCACTCCAGCAAAATTTGGAGTTAAAAATCTACCCAAAGTATTTCAGGATCCTCGCCAGTGCTACGGAGTTCATGCACCGCGCTGAGATTCTTCGGACTCAGGCTTGGGTTACCCCATGTGCTAGGATGTTGATCCGTTGTTTAAACCTAAACCTTAAACCTAACCTGATAACAGGCACAAGAGGTTCACATAAAATCAGTCTAACAATGTCAATTGTCAAAAGATTGAAATGTGAGTATTCAGGTGTTGCCTGTATTATTTGCCATGTGACTGTTCTCTTGATAACTGGTTTCTAAGAAACTGACCCTTTTAAAGTCAAATCTATTTTAGAAAGAACAGTAGTGGAAGGAAAGATGCATATATTGAAGGTAAGGTTAGTCGCGTATCCTTTACACGAGGTTGCAGAACCAACCCCAACAGCCCCTGGCTGTTGTATGGTTTTTCTAGGCAAATTTACGTCCAGTAGTTTGCCATTGCTTTCTGGACGGTTGGCTCTCTTGATACCACTGTCGAAACCAACGCAAGGCGCATGGCCCCTAGCTGGGATCGAACCCGGCATCCCGGCATTACGAAGCGTTCGCATCGACTTAGCCACAGAGCCGACATATATGGAAGGAGAGGAGCATATATGGAAGGAGAGGAGCAAATATTCTGGAAAAAGATACAAGAAACGACCAACATTTAAGGCGGACAAGGATATTAAAGAGATTCTGGGCATGAAAATACATGAGGCTGGTAAAGTGGTTAAAGATGAAAAGCCCATAATGACAGTGACATTCTATCTGCAAAGAATCTGCTACATGAGGAAGCACTGCTTTGAGACAAAAGTATGAATGTTAAAATGTTAACACTTACCAATAATTCATGAAAGTCTCTATTCTCCCAGAAAAACAGCTGGAGAAGAAAATACAAACAATATAAAATCCTTCAAAGTCAACAGCATTTATTTCTCATGTACAATAACTCACATATGTATTATGAATTGAACAAACTATTTTCAAAGGGTTAAGAATTGGGCACACAGGCCTATCTAACATTCTGCTTTCCTATTTAGTGATCAAGGACTACATTCCCTACTTATCTACCTACCTACCTAGGACAGCAGGGGACACCAAGGTAGTATTTGGTGTAGCTGTTACTGTTGGCTTGTTATCACCTTTCCATCTTTCCAGAAGATAGTGTCATAAGGTGCTATGGGGAGGCAAGGAAATCACAGACCATGGCGTTGTAATTAAGGACAGGGATGTGGTTCTTCCTCGACAGCACAAAAAAATTGGAAGTATTGTAGAGATCATGCGCTGCCCATGCTTCATGATCACTTCCTTAGCTTGCCTTGTTTACTCTAAAGGAAAGGTAATATCAATACGTTTGGAACACTGCACGTTGCAGAAACTGCTGGATCACAAGAGCAGTGCACGGTTTGCCTGTCTTTTGCAGCTTTTATCCGTTAAAGGTATCCTAATAATAACTTCTTAAGAGATTCAATAAGGTATACACCTGTATAGGATTTGAGCCACTGGACTGGTATCCGGGGTGCTGATCTGTGCGAAACGAGGGGTGTTAGAAACGAGAGGTGTCAAACCCTCTGATAGCGGCCCAAATGAGGAAAAACTGTCCGTGTTTACAATCTGCGACATTCCTGAGATCAGCAGTCTTACTTCTCCAGTCTATTCAGCCACAAAACGACAATTCCACGCTATCAGGGGGAAATGTTGTCAGAAGTTCTGCAGCCGTTTTCCTCGACTGCTGTGGTGTGACAATGGAAAGGAAGTTGGCTGAGTAGTAATGGTGAGGCTGAATAAAACTGGGATGGTGGGGCTGATGCTGATGTTAACAAGTAATGACAGGTAACTACAGAATATACACAGACAGTTGTGTACCTGAATTTTTCGCTTGGAAGCAACACCCAGTCTCAAGTACACAGCTTCACCTTTTTGAGTCTGTCTTTTCTGTAAACAATGCAATAACGTATTTAGCTAAGAAAAGAAGAGACTGCTTGAAGTAATTAATAACACTACAAAACACTATATAGTGCACCTGGCCTATGGAATGGTATAACTTATCACTTTAAGTGCTTGATTCACTAGCAATTGTTAAGATTGCTTACCTTTTACACTGCTAATTTTGTCATTTCATTTAAATCCTTCCTTACAACTGGGTGGAAATACACCATTAAACATATCCCTACTGGCAGAGAACCCCAGGTGACACCAGGTTGCTGTGTCCATTAAAGGTGCCCTAATTATGACCTCCTTGGAGGCCCAATAGGTTGGGTATCTGGCCTCGCCCTGTTGGTCTGCCACCAGCCCTGAGATTTGTTAATCTCAATAAGTGTCAAACCTTCATCTTCTGTTGGTCTGCCACCAGCCCTGAGATTTGTTAATCTCAATAAGTGTCAAACCTTCATCTTCTGTTGGTCTGCCACCAGCCCTGAGATTTGTTAATCTGAATAAGTGTCAAACCTTCATCTCCTGTTGGTCTGCCATCCAGGATGAGATCTTTCTGATTTCATGGGGTATCAGCCAGAAGGGGACAAATGGCATGCATGCACATGTGGGTTAGGGCCCTATTATAGGGAAAACAAGAATAGACCGACTGTCTACCCAAAAGCATGTCGTAAGAGTCGACTCATTGGGAGCTTCCTTCAAAGTCGGAGTGCATCTGCCTGAAAGGCAAGGAACCAGCAGTCTGCATACAAATGAGTCAGATCTGTAAAACATATGCACACGCAACAGTCAGGTTCTGGAACAGGACTGCAGTCCAGAAGTGGATGAACAACCAGAACTTTCCTCCATAGTTCGCAGCTGGGGAACACGAAGAAGAAGAAGATTACAGTACAATGAGGCTGAGAGACCACTTTCCTTCTTCGCAGATTATTTCCTAAAAATCTCTACTGGTTGGAACTAACCCTAGCACAGCTAGAAGTTCAACAGGGATCACCATGTTTGTAAGTGGTGGCCGTCATTGTTCCCTTCATGACTGCCGTCCATGGAATCAGCAGCTTAAGGATCATAAACAGGAGCGAATCCCAGAAATGTTGTCCCACAGTATAACAGAAATGAAAGAAAGAACAAACGTTAGTTTCCAAGGTTATGTTGTTTGTTTGTTTTAGTATCCAGAAGCAACCTTTCGGCCTTGATTCCATTGTAAATATCTGGGAGAAATGTGGCTTTTCTGCCTACCCCCCGGGAGTGAGCCCGGACCACAAGGAGTTCGTCCCCCGGTCACCACGCAATCCGTTTTAGCCAACTACACTAGCGAGCCGGGCTCCAAGGTTATAAATAAGGCACCCCTGCTGTTACAGGTAACCTGCAGTACAATGTTGTGATCATCATCAGTCATCAGTTCTCATTAGGCCTAGTGGCACATGAGGCTTCAGAGAGGACTTTCCATGCTTTCCTGTCCTGTGCAATCTTCAGTGCAGTTTTCCATGTCAAAGATGCCGCACTCAGGTCACTTTCCATCATTTGTCTCCATGTTGTTTTTGGGCGCCCCTGTTTTCTCTTTCCCTCTGGTGTCCATGTGAGAGCTGTTTTGGCAGGTATATCAGAAGTCATTCTCATAACGTGGCCAAGCCATTTCCATCTTCTCTTGGTAATCATACTGTCTAAAGTTTCTTGGTTTGTGGCTTGTAGTCGTTTAGTGTTTGAGATTGTATCTGGCCAGAAAATGTTGATAATTCTACGTAGACATGTGTGGTGAAAGGTGGACAGCTTGTGTGCATTGCATCCTTTTTGGTCATTCTCCAGCATTCCGCTCCATAAAGAAGAACTGGCAAAATTATGCTCTTGTAGAGTCGGAGTTTCGTTTCTCTGCAGTAATTGTTGGATTTCCAGATTTGCCTCATCCTTCCAAAAGCAGCTCTAGCTTTGTTCAGACGTGACTGTATGTCTTCCTCTGTCCCTCCCAATAGGGACATCACACTGCCAAAATATGTGAGATTTTCTACATTTTCAAGTGATTGGTTACTTATGGTCACTGGTTGTTGGTTTGGACTGTTTGTCATGATCTTAGTTTTCTTTGTATTTATTCTTAGTCCCACCATTTCTACTGTGCAGTTTAGTCTGTTACTTTTCTCTTGTATATGTTCATGTTTATGTGATAGGAGTGCTATATCATCTGCAAAATCAAGGTCCTCAAGCATGGTGAATGGAGTCCATCCTATGTCTCTTAATGTCCTGTCTACTGAGTTCTTTAGTATCCAATCAATCACAAGGTGAAGAGGAGAGATGACATAACACATCCCTGTCTTACACCTGTCTTTACTGGGAAAGATGCATTGTAATTTTTTATACTGCAGGAAAAGTCTTTATAGAAGAGAGCAATTATGTTGACTTTTTTTTCTGGAATTCCATAATGTCGTAACATTTTCCACAGACCGTCTCTATGGACGCTGTCAAAAGCTTTCTCAAAGTCCACAAAATTAATATATATACTTCTCTGACATTTGTTGCATTGTTCTAAAATGTTACGTATGGCGAAGATGTGCTCAGTTGTTCCTCTGCCCTTTATGAATCCTGCTTGTTCCACTCGTAGGCATTTATCTAATCCTTTTTCAAGCCGCATTATGATGATTTAAACAAATATTTTGCTTGGTACTGAGAGTAGAGTAATTCCTCTCCAATTATTGCAGTCTGTTAAGTCTCCTTTTTTGGGGATTTTGACTATTGTTCCTTTAGTCCAGTCATCAGGCAACACTTCTTTTTCCCAAATATCCTTGAACAATGGTTCTAGAATGCTAGCAGTTGTGTTGGGATCTACTTTGAGAAGTTCTGCTGGCAGTTCGTTTTTGCCATTGTGCTTTGTTGTTCTTTAAAGTGTGGATAGCTTTAAGGATTTCTTGTTTGCTTGGTGGTTCAGTAATAATGTCAATGTCCTGAGAGGCTGGTTGAATATCTGGGGGATTTTCAGGATCAGGTCTGTTCAAGAGGTCGGAGAAGTGTTTAGTCCACTGCATGTCTTGTTTTTGTTCTGTGGTGAGCAGTCTGCCTTGGTTATCTCTGATGGGTATGCTGTGATAATTGTTTCTGTTTCCGCAAATTTGCTAGGTAATTTTGTGTAGGGTTTGTAGATCATGTGCTATAGCAGTATTTTCTGCTGTTTCTGCAAGATTTTCCATAAATCTTCTCTTGTCAGCTCTGGCTCTTTTTTTGGTCATTTTATTTAGTTCGCTATATTCTAACATTAGTTTGTCTTCCTGACGTTCTGATTTAGTGTGATTTATGAGGCTCTTTATTCTTTTTCGCTTGGCAATATAGTCCATGGTTAGACTACTTATCCATTCTTTGTGGTGTTGTTTCCTGGTTCCTAATATGTTATTGCTAGTTGATTTGTATGTTTCTTTGATCTGGTTCCATCTGTCTTGAATGCTGATTGTAGTTGGAGTTTCTGGGTCACTTGATAGGGTTTGAAATCTATTCTTGAGTTCTACTATAAATTAAGTGGCAGTGTCTTTTTCTCTTAAAAGGTTAACATTGTAACGTGCTGTCTGTGTCTTAACTTGCGTGTAAACGTTTTTGAGTTTAAGTTGTAGTAGAGCGACTACAAGGTGATGATCGCTTCCCACATCTGCTCCCCTTTTGACACACACATAGAGTAGGGACCCATGCCATTTTCTGTTTACCATGAAATGGTCGATCTGGTTTACATCTCTTCTGTTTGGGGATATCCATGTAAGCTTGTGTATATTCTTGTGAGGAAATGTTGTGATGGGAGTAGAGAATGTTGCTATGTTAAAAAAGCAAACACTTCAAGCAATATGCCACTGTGACTTTCTACTTAAACATCCATACCCAGTAAATTATCCACATCTGCACTATGCCATCTGCTATAAACAACCTAGCTTCCCTCATCTTATCTGCTTTCCCCTCATTTAAAAAAAAAACATATATGACTTCCTTGTTTGCATTATGCTGTTTGTTACAAAGAATCAAGCTTTCCTAATACTATTTTCTTACTCCGATTCAAAGGAAAACAAATTACCCCTCTTCCCCACCCCATCCCTTTCCGATTCAGTTTCTTACCTGGACATCTATAGCGAATAAGTTAGCTCCCTTGGTTTTGTTAACACAAGTGACTAAAGAGAATGTTGTTAAATCATGGACACTGATGACATTATCTGTGGAAAACAGTGCAAAAGTAAGTAAATTGCTAGTAGTATCTTTAACTGACGTTGTCTCTGTGGCGAAGTGGTCAAGCCATCTGCCTCACATTCTGAAGGTCCTGGTTCATTTCATGGTGCGCTGCGTTTAGTTCATGATTGAAATTTTAAAAAATATCCTGAGAGACTGATGCCGGAGCTAGAGCCTTTGTCCTTTGTGTGACACTCTCAAAAGTCAGCTGGTTGTTCTACAGAGAGAGATCAAGCCGTATAGAAAAAAAACCAGTGAAAGGAAAACATTCCTCTCAGCTTTAACCTTTTAACCATTATCTTTTACTGGGCTCAGCTTCTATCTTTTACTGGGCTCACCTTCTATCTTTTACTGGGCTGAGCTTGTATCTTTTACTGGGCTGAGCTTTTATCTTTTACTGGGCTCTACATCCATCTTTTACTGAGCTCTACATCCATCTTTTACTGGGCTCAACATTCATCTTTTACTGGGCTCAACTTCCATCTTTTACTGAGCTCAACTTCAATCTTTTACTGAGCTCAACTTCCATCTTTTACTGGGCTCAACTTCTATCTTTTACTGGGCTGAGCTTTTATCTTTTACTGGGCTGAGCTTTTATCTTTTACTGGGCTCAACATCCATCTTTTACTGGGCTCTACATCCATCTTTTACTGGGCTCAACATCCATCTTTTACTGAGCTCTACATCCATCTTTTACTGGGCTCTACATTCATCTTTTACTGGGCTCAACTTCCATCTTTAACTGGGCTTAACATCCATCTTTTACTGAGCTCAACCCTTTTACTCAGCTCAACATCCATCTTTTCTGGGCTCGACTTCCAACTTTTACTGTCAGTATTTCTGTAAGTATCCTGTTTTCATCTAAATCTGGCGACATCCACATACTTGGTGATTTTAATGCTCAAACTCATGGCCAGTTTGTCTTGGAAAATATAATGTTGGTCACATGAATTAAAATGGGCAAAGACTTGAAAGTTTGCACTAGAAGGGACCTGAGCCTCACAAACTCTTTTTCAAAACAAACCACCACCATAAGGTGTCATAGAAACATCCAAGATCTGGCCACTGCCATGAGCTGACCTTATTCTCACTAGACTGCAGCACTTGAGCTATGTGTCACTAGCTCACAGCTACCACAGTGCTGACTGTGATACTGACCATTCCCTAGTTGGTAAAGAGTTCGGATGAAACCCAAACATTTTTTACAATAGTCCTGAAGTCCCATGCTTTAACTGTGGAAAACTTTTCTTAACGCGGGCGGGTCTTGCTAGTCACACTCGCCATGGCCATGGGCTGTAAGTCCCATGCTTCCTCATAGCGCAATATAACATTATCGTCTGGAAATATGGAAAGGTGCCAATCAATCAATCATCATATTTTCATGGTGCTTTTAACCGAGAGTAAACATGAACAAGGAGGCAGTTCATATTTTGTGCGTTAGTCTTAGCAGGCGACTAGTCATTCCGCAGAGAGAGACTAAGCTATACGGGATAAAGCCTAGTGCAGGGAAGTCCATCCTCTCGGCTTTAAATGATAATTAAACAGACTTATGTATGACTGGTTAGAGTTTGCAGCTACAGTTTTTTATGGGATGTCTCATGTCAAATCTTGTAATCAGGTAATCGCAGTTCCAACATCACAGCAAACAGGTCACCCCACAAGTGGCAGCACCAGTTCTGTGGCAACAGACCACTTGTCAAGTTCTGAATCTGCAGTTTCTCTCTCTCTCTCACTCACGCATGCATGTGCGTGCACGCTCACACATATACAGTGTTGGGAAAAGTTGAAAAGCAATCAACATGAAATCTGCAGCTCACAGTGTCTAGCCATGCACTCAACTCCTCAGCTGAATGTTGGAACTATACACTTTAAGTCCCATATAGGGGGAAAATACACTGGGTAACCATTGTCAGAAGCATATAACTTGATACGACTAAAAACAGTCCATTTGTCAATCCGCCAAACTGGATGGGAATCCTTTATAGTGACCCCTTATGACATGTATGGTAGACAGTGTTATAACTCTCTGCTTGTCTTGCAAGCCCTTATAACACAAAGGTGAGACTAGTACTGTAACAAGCTGCACTGAGAGCCACAGGCAAAGCTTTCTGAAGAATTTTCTAATCATCTCAAGATAGAAGGGAACAACAAAAGCAGCAAAACGTATAAGCTAAATAATTCTTACCTGACAAACTGATAAGAATGAACAGTTCAGGCACAGCCGCAAGCTAAGGAAAAAAGTAAGATAAATAATGTTACATCTACAAGTGTCATATTTTGTATGACATCTGTGAATGCTGTATTAGTGACCATTATAAAGGAGGTTAGACAGGGGTCAAAAGCCATGTTTATTAAGTTAAAGTCAAGAAGATCGACTTGATTTCACCATGCATTATCCCATAAGGCTCGGTCTCTATCCGCAGAACAGCCAGCCACTTGTCAAGAGTGTCCTACAAAATATAAACTCTGCAGCTCCATCATGAACTTAATGTCACAGCCGTCCACCCACTCAAATCACTGTCTTTGTAATAAAAAAAAGACTAAGCACTAGGACATCACAGTTATTGTGTACCGTACAACTGGTGTGATTGAAGAACAACGATCAATAACACAGAATACACACAAGTAGTCGCAAGCTATAAAATATATCATAAATAACAGGTGTCTTATCAGTGTTGGTATGGTGATATTGTGTGATATGTACACTGGATAGCCACAGTCAATCGAGTAGCATTGAAACAAGTTCAATGTTTGGGACATTTTAGTAAAATTCTTCATATCTGTCTGCTTGTCTCCCTCTCTCTATGTGTATTTCTCAATCCCGCTGTGTATTCTTCTGTCACTCTTTCCAGCTGTGTGTGTGTCTCTCTCTATTTTTAAACTCTCTTTCCCTGTCTTCCCAACTCTCTCTGTCTCTCTCTCTCTCTCACTCTCTGTGTGTCTCTATTTCAAACCCTCTTTCTCTACCCTCCTATCTTCCACTCACACATTCAACAGAAATATTTTCAGTTGGAGTTTATTCAAGTGAAAGCAGGAAATGTTTGACTACACTAATTAGTTAGTTAGTTAGTCTTTCCTCTTGTGTCGAGTGCAGCACATAGGGCAGAGGTCATGACTCTCCATGCATGGCGGTTCGTTGCAATCTGTTGTAGGTCTTGGATGTTTGAGTGGCCCATGAGTGAGCCTTCCCTGATGATAGTTCTTCGTAGGGTTTCCCTTGGTCTTCCACAAGATCTTTTCCCCTGTGGTGTCCAAATGAGGGCTTGGTAAGGAAGTCTTGATTTATCCATTCTAAGGGCGTGGCCGACATAGTTCCAGCGGCGTTTTCGTATAAAATTAGACACATACTCTTGCCTGGATTCTTGCCTTATTTGTGTATTGGTTCGGAAATCTGACCATTTGAAATTTAGTATTCTTCTAAGGCATTTATTTTCAAAACTGTCTAATTTTGTGTCTAGAGTTTTCGTTGATTTCCAGCTCTCGCATCCATAGGACTACACTAATACACATTGTAATATTGAAATTAGGGATTTCCTTTCCCCCATTCACAAAGGTCACAGTATGTTCTAACAAAAGAACAGTGGCAAATATATGCTGTTGATAAATCAAGTTACATATGCCATACCTGAGTTATAGGTTTCTTTGAAAAAGACTTATTGGACCTCTCTAGTAGCACCTCAAATTTAGCATCACCTGCACAAACATTTTGTTAAATACAATTGAAAAGATTAGAATATAATAAATTAAGGGGGAAGAGGGGAAAGGAAACTAGTGGTTTGGTGTATGTGTTTAAGACAAAAAAGTTGGCCATTTACTGGGCACATCCTGAGGAGAATCAACAGAGAATCATCAAACAAGCACTGAAATGGGAAACAAATGGAGTGAGGAAATGAGGATGTCACACACACAAACAAAACAGACTAAAGTTGACGAGAGAGGTCAAAAGTGCTGGACTTGATTCCATCCACGATACTGAAACTTATTTTCTGGCTCATTAAGGGCGTTTGGCAAACTTTGTTGTGGTGTACAGCTAACCTGCAATATTTGCACCTTTTGACCTAACACAAGTGATTTCAGCACACCTGAATTAGTCGTCTTTTCTGACATGTTTGTTCAGGTGTGGATGAAAACAGGGGTGATTGCAATTAACCTGATCTTTCTTCTTCATATGCCCTTATTCTGCCAATATAGTAAGGGCCCTCAATGCATTCTATCTCTTGCTATCACACACAACTCACCCCATGTCCTCCCAATCTTTTTAACTTCACCCTTAGCTCCCTTCTCCATGGGTTCTTTAGTCTGCCCTTATTTCCAGGCACCTGTGGTTTCCAGTGTAAAGACCTTCTAGTTATACTGCTATCAGGTTTTCTCAATGTGAGTCGTATCAATGCCAGCATCTTTTCTTCACCTCTTGATTCACTGGAATTTGTTCTCTGCCAAAGCTCAACATTAGAGACTATCATACCACTTAATGCCGTCTATTCTCCGCAGGTATCACTTAATGCCGTCTATTCTCCGCAGGTACCACTTAATGAATGTTTTAGTTTACTAGTAATTGTTTTCGTTGTTCTCCATGTTTCAGCTTCATACAGCAAAATATCAAGAAATTAATTCACTGAGCTGTGACTAAGAAAAGGGGGAGGGAGGCCACACACAAACAGAGAGAGAGAGAGAGAAACAACTGGAAGATGTGCTGAAGCCTTGACCAACAAACACCACAACAAAAGGGGTTACCACAGAATTGTCATACTGTTTATGTGTACTCTCCCGACCTTCCTTTTCCTCCTCATTACACTTCTTAGCTACAACTCAATGTATTATTTTGTTAAATGGTCTGCACCCCACCAAGGATCCCTGAATCCACAAAGGAAGGTACTGAAACAACTGAAAGGATAGAAAAGAAAGGAAGAACAGATTGCAAGCCCTATGTGCCATATAATGCCCCAACATGATGATGATATAGAAAAAGACATCTCATGGTTTTCAAAAGCAGTTTGAGAGTTAAACCATGACAGAATTTGGGGTCTTCTCACATAATTTTCCAAAAGACAGCAGCAGATAAAGATTTCTGTGACTATGAACTGCAGATCTCTCAAGAGATTCAACCCAATCCTTGAATGTGAAACATGACTCACATTATGCTAGATAAATCAGTACTTATTCAGGCATGAGTGTAGTTGTACAACTTTAGCCAAAGTAGTGCTTCTATTACTACGAACACTTCCTAAGCCATACTTAAAAGGGCTCCATTTTTGGGAAGGGGGTGTATACAACCACTGTCACCTTTCAAACATGTTCCCAAAGGTAACTAAGTAGGAGTCTGCTAAAATCAGATGTGCTGGCCAAAAGACCCAGATAATGCAGCCTGTCTGTAAACCCCAATAAATCATGCCAACTGCCATTTTAGAGTGACCTAGCAGAAGAAAGAAGAAGAAGAAGAGGAAGAAGAAGAAGAAGAGGAAGAAGAAGAAGAAGAAGAAATTTTGCCCTACTACTTGTGCTCATAACAAATAAACTACAGTTGTGTTAACAATAATGTGATATGAACATGCCAAAAAGGCATGATCACCTGTGAATATGCAGCAGCCACGCCATTACAAATGTCATTAAATGGGGATTTTGACCGTGGCATCTACTCCCATTAGATTCCAATCCCTTTTATAAGGACAATAAAACATCTTATTTATATTTAGTTCGGGAATCAATGTTTATTCTTGCCCAGGTCACAGTATCTTTAGTCCCACCTAATCAAGGTAAATTCGTCCTTAACCTGCTCCCTTTTGTTCTGTTCAGCACTTCATGTAATGATCATGAATTAAACAATACATCTAGAAAGAAGTTTGCCAAGAGATACGATTAATTATTCAAGTGAACACAGTATTTAAATAATTTAAATAAGATTTTGTTTATGTGTAATAATATATTTATTGGCAGCTGCTCTAAGAGGTATGGTCTGACCGATGGACAAACAAAGCTTCTGCAGCACGCATTGTTAGAGATGTATTGGTGTTACCTTTTCTTGGAATACACAAGGCAGGCTGAAAGAGGAATCATGCTGCATGGGAAAAACACGGTCTCTACAATACTCCCCAGGCTTTCTGCTGTGGACAGGAGCTTCATCCGTGGCCTTAACCTGTATCCCCATGGGCTGTGATTTCCAAGCCTCATTTAACACAATGGAACAATATTGTATGGAAACATGTACAGGATACCAACAACAACAACAATGTGTAATTGTCATCCTACCTTTGGTTTTACTTCTAGAAACTTTGTATTGTAAAAGTACTCCTTTATTAGTTCCTACCAATAGAGTTGACTCTGTTGAGAACACATTGACAAAAATATAACACTTTTTAAAATTATATAAATTTTAAAAGACAATATCACTCGTTGAGTGCCGACTGGTATAAAAAATACAGGTTTCAAACCATATGCTGAAGCCCCAACAGTGAGAAAAAGTTCTTTGCTCTAACTTTTTTAGATTTGTTTTTTAAATCATGAACACTGTTTGCATAGTTAGGTGCCCGATGTTGTGTTTCATTCCTGTGGGAGTTCATTTATTAACTTTTTCAGTAGTATGAGTCATCATTATAATGAGACTGTGTTATAACCCAAGAATTTCTTTTAACTAAAAAACGTTTCAGTCTGAATGAGTTAAAATAGTAAAAATTTGAGGCAGAAGAGCTAAAGTAACAACAAGGACTGAGTGGGTTAACATAACGACAACAACAACCCACCCACGCTGGACTACAGGTTACTTTGTAATTTTTCTGGGTCCCCCTATGTAACTGCTATATGGCTAAATGGGGTTTCCAGGATTTGTAGCTGTCTGATTCTTATCTCTGTGATGTTAATCCTACATAATGAAAACCTGGAGGTGAACAACTTTACAGAAAAATAATAACAATAGATGGAGCAAAACAGGTAAGAAAAGTATGTCATGTACATCACAAACCAATAAATGCAGAGTAAGTACTGAAAGCATGTAAGTTAAAAAATGTATTGCTTGAAAATTGTAATAAGGATAAACATATTTTTTTTCTGTGCACCTTTCATTTGAGCACAGATTCTTAACCAACTTACTGAACATCTGTGTTCAAAATGGCAAAAAGCAGGGGTGTTATTTTTCAATGGTTGTGATTTTTCTTGGATTGTTCTGTTTCCTTATCATGAACTGGTATTTGGTATGCATTTCCAACACAGGATACTATGTATTTTTCTTGGAAGCAGTGTGTATTGTGGTTGTGCTATGTCAGGTCAGGATATGACCGACAGTTTTGGCAGCTTCGATCACACTGCCTTCGCAAAGTTTTGATCATCGAGGTGGCCCACTATCTGGGAGGGCAGAATCTTGTCAAGGGAACTGCGACTGTTTAGGGAAAAACTCCATAAAAGCTGTCCCTAGAAACGGAATGTGTCAACCATTTTTTGGTGGAAAGGAATTGACAAATACTGTTAACTCAATGGCCACAGCCAACGAACTTACACTCAAGCCATTCATAGGCTTGTTCAAGAGTGGCTGGAACTGCAGCCATAGTTTTCTAGTATATCAGGTAGCCAGTCTCATGACAATCCTTTCTAGTCATCTCTTACAGCAGGGCTGTTCAACCAAGTTTACTCAGGGGCCACAATGTTGAAAATGGGGATCATCTCAAGGCCCAGTACAGAAAGATTATGAATACAATACTGTCGTATGCACCTGATGAGATACAGTGAAATATGCCAGGCAATAAATTGTGCAATCTATTGTTTGTGTCTTCTTTGTTCAAATAATACAATACTCTTGTTAATGATTCTCTGACCACTTGTCAGGCCTCTGTAGGCTGATTCAGCTCACCTGTCTAACAGCACAGATGGTGAGTTAACAGTGTTATACTATTTGCTTCCCTTGTTACTGGCATCTTTTTCTCTTTCCAGATGACAGCTTTTATAATTCTATAGAAAAGGTAACAGCAATATGTTTGGAACAAAGCCTGCTTGCAGAAGCTGTAGCACTAGAAGAGCAGTGCTCTATCTGTTCATTTGTCAAAGCTTCCCTCCTAGACAAGCAGCCATCCAAGGCTAAGGGACTAGTCAACCCTGATATAACAATACTTTTTGGAGTTACATTTCCTTAATCTAAGATAAGACTAATATCCTTCCCAAAGTACTCCTCTACCCAAAATCGCTGGTCCCAGTTGGATGTCAGGGTTGGTATACGCTTTCCAACATTCAGCATTAACTGAGAACAGGTAGTACCAACTACTGTTATACAATAGCTAAATTGGATCTGATCAGCTCATTTTATCTCATTCATCTGCATGGTTCCTAAGGGCTGTCCTATGATGTAGGGGTGTTACTAGTGTTAGGCGATGTCTTCCTATGCAAACTATACACAGCAAAGCAAAAAGTGACTGGCATTCATTTGATAAGATTGACACACTGTCTCTCAGATGAAACTGTGCAGCTTTTAAAATTTTTTTGTACTCTCCTCTGTATAAATGAGTGTAGCTTCTGGAATGTTTTGTTGTGATTAGGTCTGAGGCGTCTAAGGCGACTGTGTAGAAGGAAGAAGTACTGCAGAAAGAAGCGCCAAAGGTGCGACGATTTGTGAGTACCGAATTACTGATGCTTTTTGTATTTTTACACTTACTGGCGGTGGCTGTCATCAGTGGTGGTTGTGCTTAAAACGTTCAACACAAGCAACACATGACACACCCAGACATAGCACAGCCCGTGGGAACCAATTAGAGGCATGCAGCCGAACGAGACAGGACTAGGAACTTCGGTTCTCCTTAAAACTCCGGCCACTTATTATGGAGTACGCCGGAGTTTAGTCCCCTGGCCGCATTGCAATTACGGAGTGGACAAGAGGGAACGACACAAATGACGTAATTACTGTGTGTTTGCGATAGATGCACTGCTGTCATAATAGGGTTAGGGGAGGCCGTAGTTGTAAGGAGTACCAATACCCTATTATGACAGCAGTACATCTATCGCCAACACACAGTAATTACCTCATCGGTTCACGCTGTCTATCACCAACACACAGTAATTACATCATTTGTGTCATTCCCTAGGGACTACAATTTGCGATCTTTTCGGCAATTTCCGTTACCCGGAAACCGTTCAGAACTTGTTCGGGAAATCTCGGCTGGTTTCCGGATGGGTCCAAATCTCATGAAAATTCGTGATTGGTGGGAATTTGGACCAGCTATAAATAGCTGGAAACAGCGTGGGGGAACCCGATTAACAGCGCATGTCTACGACAGCCGGACTCCTCTGTTTTTCTGTTAGTCATCAGTTTGATTGAAAATAGCGGTAAATTCGAGGATGGCTTTAGGCCTTAAACATTACCAGTTGTGGTAATGCTAGTTACAGTTGAATTCTCCGTCCAATTTTACATTTGCATAAATAAATTTCTTTCCCGACTTTCGCTGTTTAGATTTACAGTGACATTTTTTAGGCAATCGCATGCGGCTGAGTCTCACTGCCTGCCATCTTGTCCAATGACAGTCTAATGTCAACAAAGCCGATATAGAACTGCGCAGTAGGTTGCGCAGTGAAAAACTTCTTGTTTCTGGGTCACAAGTTTTAGCGGCTGTTTCTTACATCTCATCTCCACAAAAACCTACATATCTCAGCTCAGAAATGACATACAAGCCTAAATGAGGTACCATTGGAAAGAGATTGTTTACAGCTATCTAAATGTGCTGGTTTTATTGGTGTAGAGGGCATTTTAAAAATTTGACTGAAGTACCTACATTCCCTCTTGTCCACTCCGTAATTGCAATGCGGCCAGGGGACTGAACTCCGGTGTACTCCATAATAAGTGGCCGGAGTTTTAAGGAGAACCCAAATTCAATAGTTTAGGGGTGCTAGAGTAAAAAAAAAATGAACAGCCAGCTGAGAATCATCAAAAAAATGGGAATGAAGTTTGAGATGCAGACGACAAGATAAGACTGGAAAAGATGGAGGGCGGCAGAACTCAATCAGTGACGGACTTACTTACCATAACATGCTATTGATTCGATGTTTAGAGGCAAACGCTCTAAGATCGGAATAGCTTCGAATGCGTCGTGCATTTTAAATCATTCTCGTGTTAACATTATCTTTCTGATACTATACACAATCACTATTTGAGTAAGTTTTTCCCTAGTTCTCCCGATCATCAGAGAGCTTTGTTTTCCTTCGCCATTTCACATGACCCCATGACATTTTATACTCACTGAATGAGAGAGCTCATACAAGGGAGGGAACCTACTAAAGCACATAAGAAACTGTAACTGCAACGCCTACAAATCATCACAAAGTTATCTGTTACTTTTTAACTGTATCATCACCAAGTTCTCTGTTACTTGTTAACTGTATCAAAAGTCTAAACACCAAGTTCTCTGATACTTGTTAACAGTCTCATAACCAAGTTCTCTGTTACTTGTTAACTGTATCAACAGTCTAAACACCAAGTTCTCTGATACTTGTTAACAGTCTCATCACCAAGTTCTCTGTTACTTGTTAACAGTATCGACAGTCGCTACATCCTTAGCACTTCAGCAAGACCTATTCGTGCTCCGTCCTCCGTCATCAAGCGCCAGCTGGTGTGTGCGATCATACTCTGCTATCACCAACAGCATTCACAAATTCACGTATTTACACATTTCCATGCCTGCAAGAAGTAGAACGATATATCTTACTCACAAAAGAAGTGAATAAGAAGAGGTTTTCATCCATCTCTCTTTACATAACTATTTCAATCTGTCACATGTTAATGTTTTCTTCTCAGAGTATGGTCAAAAATGGATGCTGTCTCTGTCTGACGTCGTAAGCCGAGGTTCCAACATCATTGCGGACGGGTTAACGCCAACGGGTGTTTGATGTGTATAAGTTCTCTTCGATCCTAGCCTCTGTTTTATCTGGACTGTGCATTTTGGATGTCAGAGAAATATCAACATTCTTCTGTAAAATATCTCCAAAGTTTTATTTAGAACTTGCACCACGAGTGTTAGAATTACGTTGTTATTTATTTTTTAACATTCATCATCATCATGTGCCATACAGGTAAAACTGTGCGGTAATTATTCGCTATGCTATACCCCATTAACACCATAGTCAATGATTAGGTCAATGCTATTGTCCCTCCTTTATCCATTAATCGTTACATTCCCCTTGTTCTTATCCGTGTATTTTCGCTATATTTCACCTGAGTTATCGAGTCTACTTCTTCTCATAGCATTCGGAGCATATTGAATGTGTACCTCTAATCGTCTGTGGCTAAGGCGTTGCGAACGCGCTTCGTAATGCCGAGTTCTATCCCAGCTGCGACAGCAGTACCGAGAGCT